CTACGAATCATTTATTTATTCTATGAGGATAATAATAATAATAATAATAATAATATGATTTGATTTCGTACAAAACAGGTAGGAAAACTAATAATAAATAATAATAATTTATACTACATCGCAAATTTTTTTTTCGAATTCGTTCGAGACTACGTGAAAGTTTTTTTTTTTTTTTTCTATTTGTTATTAACATAAAATTATTAAAAAAAAAAAAAAACGTCAACGTAAATTCAAAATCAATCAAAAAACTTTTGCTAGACGTTTGAAAACGTTAAAAAAAACTTTCGGGGGGGATTTTTTTTTTAATTTTTTTCTAAAAAACTTTCTAAATTCCCCCCCCCGGGGGGCGGTTTCAAATTCAAATTCAAAAAAAAATTATAATTATTATAATAATTATTATTTTTCCTTTGGAGTTTTTTTTTTTAAAAAAAAAAAAAAAAATAATAATTTTGTTATTGCCTTAAGATTTAAAAAACTCTCACTTTCTGTGAATAATAATTTAGAAAATGTTTTCTTTTTTTTTATTAATAATAAAAAAAAAAAAAAAAAGTTCGTTATTAATTGCTTATAAAACTATACATAAATGACGCGATTTAACCGTTTTTTTTTTATGACGTCACACGTCGTTTACTACGTAAACCCTCCCCCTTTTTTTTCTATTTTTTTAACGTTTTCTTCTTCGTTTTTTCCTGATTATTAATAATAATAATAAAATTACAAACTGATAATAATTTATTATTATTATTATTATTATTATTATTATTATTATTTTTTTTTTTTTTTTACGCAATCGATTCACCTGACCGTAAAATTAATAAATATACTTTTTTTTTTTTTTTTTTTTTTCAAAATGTTAATGTTGGTACCGAACGTACGTTATTTTTTTTTCCAATCCTCGACAAAAACAAAAAAATTGGCGGGAATTTCTATTTTACCGTTCGAACGCGTTTGCGACAATGATTGAACGCACTTTTAATGACGTCACTTCCGGGGGGGGGGAAATAAAACGACGACGAGAACGATTGTTTTTTCCGCACGTTATATATTCCCTATTTTAAATTTTCTTCCATTTTCTTCCATTTTTTTTTTAAAACCGAAATTCGTTAACTCTAAAATTAATAATAATAATAATAATAATAATAATAATAATAATAATAATAATAATAATTTTTTTCACTAACGAAAATTATTTTAAACAAACATTTTCGAAATAATTTTTTTTTAAATTTTTTTTTTACACAATTAATTTTGAAATCCGATTTTGACATTCGATTTTAAATTTTTTCGTACGATACATTAACTATAACAAAAAAATTATTATTTTTTTTTTCGGTTCGAAAAAATAATAATAATGATAATAATCGATCGTAGTAGACGTTTCGTAATTTTTTTTTTTTTTTTTTTTAATTAATAAAACGCTCGTTAAAATATTTAGAGTAGAAAAAAAAAAAAAAAAAAAAAAAATTATGCGAATAAAATTTATATACGTATTATTTAAGTGTGTCGCACGTTAATTTCGACAAATATATATAAAATTCTTGCGGTTAATTATACCCAAGCTAATTATAAACCCCATTTGTATATATTTATTTTATAATAATAATAATAAATGAAAAAAAAATTTATTACGGAATGAGCGGAAACGAATTCAAAAAACAATAAACAATAAGTAATAAATAATAATAATAGTAATAATAAAAAAACGAGATTCAATGGAATCTTCTCCAGTTAAACAACTGGAACGAATTATGAATGACTACTATATAATAATAACCTACTACGAGAACTCAATGTTTATTATAAAATGATAATAATGATGACGACGTGCATAAACCTTAATAGAATTTTCTTTTAAAAAAAAAAAAAAAAATGTCATTTGTAAATTTTTTTTTTTAATTAAAATTTACAGGGTCATTTAAAAAAAAAAAAAAAAAAAATTATGAACGTAAATAATTTTCGTATTTAAAAATATTATTATTATTATTTAAAACCGCCATTTTGCGGTTTTTTTTTTGTAAATTTTTTACAAAAATGTCCGAGTGTATCTATCTATCACCTTCGCTCTTTACAATTTTTTATTAAAAATTTTTTAGATCGACGTAAAATAAAAATAAAATAAACGTTTTGTCATTTTGCTAATAATAATAATAATAATTTACATTGCAGGGATATTCCGGATCTCGATAAGGAAAAAAAAAAAAAGAAAAAAAGAAAAGAAAAATGACGCGTTGCCTTTTCTACAACAGTTTCATACAAATAATATTATTGATTTATTGCACGACAATAAAATGTCATTCGCATTTTTCGCCATTTTCAACCTTTTCCTCAAATTACAATTCGAAAAATTCAGGTAAATTATAAATTATCATCATCATCATCATCATCATCATCATAATTAAAAATAAATGTCGTATAATTTTCTTAAAAGTTGTAGACAAGTTTAGACAAAAATTAAATTTATCAACCGTTTTTTTTTTTTTTTTTTTTAGGTATCAAAGATATGAAGGTCATTCACGGATGGAAAACTGTTGATTTTGTTTTTCCAAGTACCGCAATCAGGCATTCCATGTTACGAAGTGGTCAATTCATACCGGGAAATTCATTAATATTAGATGCCGATTACTGGCAAGAAGGTTAGTAACGACAAACTCAAAAAATCCATTAACAAAAAAAAAAAAAAAAAAAATTCTAAAAACCTTTCTGCGCGTACAGGTTCAGAAGATGTCATTTTTGTAACGTTACCACGATTAAGAAATGGTATACCCGCAACTTTGGCAACCGTTTCTTCATTCATCGACTACGATGAATCTCCAAAACTATTACCCTTTCCCGACTGGACTTGGCACGACGAAGATAATTGCGAAGGACTCGTTTCCGTCTTTAGAATAAAGGTAGTATGATGACCCCCCAAATATATTTTTATCAATACCCCTCCCGCCCCCCCCCACAATGTCTCCTCAAAATTCGTAACCTTTCTTGTAAAAAAAAAAAAAAAAAATTTACGCGAATAACTTAAATAATTAGAGAAAGTCATATTAACGACTATTTCGGTAAATGTATAACACGTGTGCACGTGCGTACTCGCGTTTATTAAATTTCATTACAATACAAAGAAAACCGGAAATAGTTTTTTTTTTTTGTAATTTTAAATCCTCGTCGTCGTCGTCATCGTAAAATAATTAAAATAAAACAATTTTTCTCTCCCTCTCCCTCTCTCTTTTCCCCTCCCCCCTCTCTCTCTTTCTCCCTCTCCCTCTCTCCTATTTGATAATATCAATAATACATATCAAAACCAACATGATTTCCATTACGTAATAAAAAAAAAATAATAATAATAATTTTGGTTAAGGCAATTAAATTATCCATTGAATTCTTTGATTGATTATCGATTATTCAAGCCAATCAAAATAAAAATTATTATTATTATTATTATTATCACCATCACCGTCATTTACAGTGATTAAAAATTAATAATAATAATAATAATAGAATTTTTTTAATTGTTTATCGTTGCAAATTCGTTTCGTTTCGTTTTTTTTATCAAATAATAAAAAAAAAATACCTTGAACTGATATGTGGAAAATATTTAGAAAATTATTTAATATTATTATTATTATTATTTGCTATTGAACGATACGAAAAATAACGTGAATACTTTTAAAAAAAATTTTAAATCGTCAAAAATTTCCTTTTTTTTTAAATACGAACTATAAAATGACAGACGATATTAAAAATTACATTTTTGTGACATAACCGGTTTTGTAAATAAGGTAAAATTCATGGTGGAAAAAATAAAAATGGCCGACTCAAAATTTTACCTTTTTTTTTTTTTTTTTTTTTTTTTTTTTTTTTAATTAATTATCGCAAGTTTTGAAATTATTAATGAAGATCCGGTAAAAATGTAACTTTTTTTTTTATCGTCAAGATATTAAAATATGATATGAATCAATTCAAGGTATTTATAATGCCTTGAAATTATTCAAAAAAAAAAGAATTATGAAAAACCTTACCTTAAAAAATTTGCAGGTAGATGAATGTGGTCGTCTCTGGATCGTTGATTCCGGCGTCACAGATGCATTGAATACAGCAAAAAAAATATGTCCGCCAAAAATTATGGTTTTTGATTTACACACTAATACACTCGAGTTAAAATATGTTATCCCGGATAATTTATTAAGCAGTTTAAGCTTGTTAGTCACGATAGCAGTAGACAACAGAAGGTTTTGCGATGATGCGTTTGCGTACATCGCTGACGTAGGAGATTTTGGCGTCATCGTTTTCGATAGCAGACGACACAGATCGTGGAAGGTTAAAAGTAATTACTTTTATCCTTATCCGAATTACGGTTCGTTTAACATTGCCGGTACCGAATTTGATTTGATGGATGGAGTTATTGGTTTGGCACTCGGTCCACTAAATAAATATGGGTTTGTTTTAATACTTGACTAATTATCCCAATAACTATTATAAATAATTAAATAATAAAAAATATTTAAATTTTAGAGATAAAACGCTTTACTTTCATAGTTTGGCGAGTGTTGCCGAATCAAAAGTTTCAACGTCATTTTTAAGAAACGAATCAAATTTTCTTAGCGGTGATAAAAAAATTTCAAAAAGGTTTGATCCATGTTAATTTTTTATGTAAAAAAATTAATGATGACGATGATAAAACATTAATTTCTTAATTAATTCAAAGGTTTTACACGTCTGATAATGTGAGGCCATCTCAATCCGCTGCTCAAGATATGTCACAGAATAAAATTTTATTCTTTGGATTATTGTCCAAAAATTCCATAGCTTGCTGGAATTCTAGAATGTAAAATGACATTTTTTTTTTTTTTTTAATTTAACAGCCGTCAGAAAAAAATAAAAGATTTTTATTAAAATGATTACGTTTGATTTCAGGCCATATTTACCATTTAATATAATTACCCTGGCACAAAATAATGAAACTTTGCAATTTTCAAGCGGAATTAAAGTAATTAAGAAAAACGGTTTGGAAGAACTTTTGGTGACGACGTCGAGATTTCAAAAATATCTTTTAAATGAAATTGATAATAATGATGTCAATTATAGAATTTTAAGCGCTTCCGTTAATGATTTGGTTAAAAATACTCTTTGTGAATTCGGTTCGAGTTTTTTTCCAGAATCATATCAAACCATTGAAATCACTAATTGGAATTAAAAATAATTTAATTATTAAATTGTAAAATTTTAAGTTAAATGTGAATAATTTACAATCATTTATTAACAAATAAATGTTTAATAATAATTTATATGTATTGTTGTGTTGAATTTTTAAAAATCCCATTTAAAATCAATCATTTAAGTTTTTTTTTTTAATGACATTTATATATACGTACTTATAATTATTTAAAAGTACGAATAATTTAACGGTTTTAACGGTTCAATGTTTTGATTTTTTCTTTGAAATTTCTTTTACGCCATCTTCGGTTGATGATTTTTTCCTTTTTACGTTTTCGCAAATAATTTTTAAATCTTCTTCTTCTTTTTCTTTGTCTTTTCCATCAGATGTTTGTTTTTCCTTTTTAGATTTTACACTACTGAAAAAATTGTCGTCGGATTTTGTTTTTATTAAATTTTTATCAACTTTTGTTTTCGAATTAATTTTTATGTTAATTTGATGATCCGAATCGGTCACGTGAATCCACATGGGGCCCTTGTTGATGTAACTTATTGTGCTGATGGAAAAAAAATTTTTTAAAAATGTTTTCCACATTTGTTGTTAAATATTTTTCACAATAACAAACCTGTAAGCTGTGTAATGAAAATCTTCTTTCAAATATCTCATGCTTAACAAATACCCGATAATTTTTTCTGCTGTCGTCCTGTCGAAATTACATTTAACGTCAGCCACCCTTATTTTTGCATCTCCTTTTCCATACCAAGCTTCTATTAGCTTCAAAGCTGTAACTTTTATTTCATTTTCAAGAGCTCTTTCTATTATTTTATAAATGTCTCTACCAGAAAAAAAAAAAAAATATTTTTAAAATAGGCAAAGGATCCCAATGTTTCATTTTACAAAATTATACGTTGCAAATCATACCGGCATGCTGAAGTTATGTCTATTTCCTTAAAATTTGGCTCTTCTTTGCAGTGATCACACATTTTATTACAAAAATTTGAATTCCAAACTTCATCAAAATGTTCGGCTATTAGACTTCTACGACATGTATCATTATTAAGGCAAAAATTTAACATGCTATACAAGTTTTCCAATCCCTTTTGTTGGGTAAACACCTACACCAAAAAATTATTAATTTTAAACTTCATTTTATATTTTAAATAATAAAAATTAAGTATTTTTGTTTATGTGCAAAAATTTACCATTGTACTCAATTTGAAAACATCGGCTAATCTGAACATTACAATACAATGCGAATTTTTTCCATCTCTACCAGCTCTACCACTTTCTTGATAAAAGTTTTCCATCGATTTAGAAAGAGAGTGATGTATAACAAATCTAACATCTGTAGAAAATTTTTTTTTAGACAAATTAATGATGTTATAAATAATAATAAAAAAATTTATTGTCCATCTTTATTCTCACCAGGTTTATCAATACCCATTCCAAAAGCTACAGTCGCTACGATAACTTGATATTCATTACTCATCCATTTTGTGTGCATCTTACTTCGAACTTCAGCATCCAACATTGCATGATATACTCCGGCTTTAATCCCTCTTTTTCTAAGTTCTTTTGTAAGTTCTTCACATTCTTTTATAGCTGTCGTATAAATAATTCCACTTTTGTTTGAAAACTTATTTTTAAGCCAGTTTTCTAAAAGATCTAAATTTTCGCTTTGAGACGAAGGTTTCAATACTACCTCGTAATATAAGTTAGGCCTGTTAAAAGTAGCTTTTATAACTAGACATCCTTGAATGTTTAACATTTTTTGCACATCTGCAGTAACCTAAACATAAAATTTTTATTTTTTTTACCTTTGAAAAAATTAATTGATTTTATAGAATATTAAATAGCATACCTTACTTGTAGAAGTAGCCGTAAGACCTAATAACGGAACTCCTGGAAACATGTCCTTCAAAATTCCTAAGTAATTATAATCTGGACGAAAATCATGACCCCAGGTAGAACAACAATGAACCTCATCTATAGCTAATCTAGTAAACCTTCCTTGTTGATGACATTTTTGTAGCTGACTCATAAATCTTTTACTTTTTGCTAGTTTCTCAGGAGTGACATAAATTAATTTGTGTTTAGGACATGAATCCTTGCGAAAGTATATAAATTGTATTTTAATTTATCATACACACAAAATTCATATAAGAAAAAAAAAAACAAATCATTTTAGCATACTTGTAAAGCTGCTGTGACCAGCTTCACATCTTCTTTGGAACTGTTTGCAGATAACATAAGTGCAGGATAATTAATTTTTTTTAAAGCCATTACTTGATCTTCCATTAGAGAAACTAATGGCGATACAACTAAAGTTATCCCTTTATCGACCAAAGCAGGAAGTTGGTAACAAAGACTTTTTCCACCCCCAGTTGGCATTATTAATATAACATCTTCTTTTGATAGAGTAGCATTTATCACTTCTAATTGAAATGGTCTGAATTCCGATATTTTAAAATTTTCTTTTAACAGGTTATCTACTTTTTGAGACCATGGAAAAGTTTTCAATGACCAATTTTTACTTGCTAGTTTTTCACTTTTTTTTTTAAGAATCAATTCTTTTATTTTTGCCTTTCTATCGACTAAAAGTTCCTTTTGAGTTTTTAATTTAGATATTTTAGCATCAAGTTGTTTGATTTCATCATCTATAGCTTTTATTTCATCTTCTTCAGTGACCATGTCGACCATTTTGTCAAAATTTTGTTAAGTAAATTTTAAGTTTTACTTACAATTTATCATAAGACACCGAAAATGAATATCATACTTAATAATTAATGTAAACTAATTATTAGAACAGGTACTTAAATTTTGAACAAAGTGAAATTCAAGTTTTTTTGATATAAAGTACATCAAGCCAAACACTTATTTTACAAGTTGAAAAAAAAGATAGATTTGAAATTAAATAAGTACAAAAATACTAAATTTTTACAAAACTTATAAATATTACTAAAAGCACAATAAATTCATAACTTGAAAATGATGCATCATTAATTAATTACAGAGCAAGATACATAAATTTCTTTAAAATTTATTCATTAATGTCTTATGCCATTTTATGCAGTCTTTAAAACTTGTTTAAAGTTTGCAAGTGTTGCCACTTGTAAAATGGATGAAGAAAAATTTAATAATAATAGTAATTCTAATTAAATTTCATAAATGTAATTTCAAACTCTCAATAAATAAATAAATAAATTATTAAATACCTGCCACTTAATTAATATTAAAATTAAATTTTGAAGCACCATGTTGTAATAATTCTGCTTTAAAAAACCGCCAAAATTCTAAATCAATTATCGTTATATATACGTCACATCCGGTTAGTTAAAGTTGGTTCTTCTTAACTTTTTAATTTTAAATTTACATCACTGACTGTAAAACATAGTAAATGGCAGACGATTGTGTTCAAATTGTAAGAATGGGAGATTCAAGTGATGATAGTGAAGAAAAATATGAAATTTATAAAGCAGGATCTGACATGGTTTGTGTTATTGGAGTTGATAATAAGCAATCAATGGGTAAAAATGCTGGGTTCAAACCAAGATATAAACAGTCATACAGAGAAGCCTGGGAGTCTATGAAAGACTTCAAAGGTGATTAAAACTTCACCAGGTACATAGAATTTTTTTAAAATTATATAAAATTTAATTTAATTGTTTTTATCTAGGTTGGTTAACAAGTGTACCTGGCAACAGTACCAAAGCTTATTGTAAACTTTGTAAAAAAGAGTTGCACTGTCATAGATTAAGTTTACTAAAGCATAAAGTTACATTCAAACATCATAAAAAAGAAGAAGAACAAAAATTAGTTAAATCATCTGGTTAGAACAAAAAAAATTATGATTTTTAAAGAGAAAATAAATATTTCTTTACAATAAATTTTTTCATGATTTCTTTTTAGAAGATGGCAGTAAAGAAAGTATTAACAACACATTGGATTCGAAAAATGAAGTTTCCGAGAGTAGTAGTAGTAATGAATCGACAATTTATAAAAATGATTCTGAAAACTGCGATGCAGAAATTAATGATAATTTTTCAAATACATTAAATGTAAAAGAAAACAATTCATCTGATTTAGAAAAAAAGGTAGACAAAGAATCAATTCCTTTTTTTTTTTTTTTCCTAAGTCGGTTCGGAATTTTAGTAAATTTTTTAAATATTTCAGACGAGTATTCAATGTGACAGTGGATTACTATCGACTCATGTATTAGATATTTGTAAAGGAATACCTGCAGCTTTAATTCATGTCGTTTTATATAAACTAATCGAAGGAAGATGGACCCTAATAAATGAAGGGTACTCATTAGTTTATTATATTTTAGTTGTAAATTCTGTTATCGTTATCATAATACCTTTTATTTATTAATTCTTTCAGCTTGACTGGTTTGGATGGTCGTTATCATTATAACATAACAAACGAAAATGATACCTCTATAGGAAGATACAAACTTCATATTGATATCGATGAATATTTTGAAAAACAAAGTCAAGAAACAATATTTCCATTTATAGAGGTAAAACCTATATAAAAAAATCATTGAATATATTAATGATCACAATCATCAAGTTTGTTTATTTGAATTTTACTTACAGGTAGCATTCGATGTTAAAGATGCCTCTTCTCATTATCACATTCCCCTTTTGTTAACTCCATTCGGTTATAGTACATATAAAGGTAGTTGAACATTTTAAATTTCTTTTTTTTTTTTTATAATATTTTAATTTTATTTCATTATTTTACTTAACACAAATTTTTTTTATATCCATATGTGTGTGTGTGTGTGTGTGTGTGTGTGTGTGTGAATTTTAATAACAATTTTCCATAGAAAAAATTCAGAGCTATTAAAAATTAATTTTTTTTTAATCGTTACTACAGTAGTAGTTACATAGATATGTAGATATGAGTAGACTGACACTGAATTTCTTTCATTAATCTTGTTATTGTATCTTCTGTCAATTTTACATAGGAATACATTTTTTTTTTTATTATATACATCATCATCATCATCATCATCATAAATTATTGTTGATTTTTCTCTTTTTTTGTCAATTATGTGTTTACAATTTTACTGTTGCATTTAATAAAGGCTTTTTTTTTTTTAAATAAATTATATACGATTTATGTACTAAGTTACTTCCTAAACATTTATTACAAGTCACACACTGATAATTAACAATAGTTAATTAATGAGATCTAATTTGTTATCGCTTCCACGAGTTTTATCCTTTCTTTCGATGAAACGTCAGTTTCTTGCCTTTCGGATTCTAAATCTTCGTCATCGTCAAATCCAAAACAATTTTGCATATCGATTTTCGTGTCTTTTCTCTCAATTTTTATATTATTTCTTTTCTGTTTTATTGACTGATCTACGTCTTCCTCTTCTTCTTCTTCTTCTTCTTCTTCTTCCTCCTCTTCCACGGCACCGTCTGAAACAATTCATTTACGTAATCGATCCTTATACCTGTAACTTTCACCTGGTTAAAAACAATCATTCAACTTACAAGGATTTCCGGTTATCGTTTCTGAATTAATTAAGTCTTGTTCTGTCACAGCTACTGCGTTGGGAGGTAATGCATCGTTTGCAACAACTGCAACAGCTTGTTTGGGTCCCTCTTCGTCTTGCAATTGAATTACCTTAAATAATAATAATAATAATATTAATAATAATAACCGTTTGAACTTTAGTTTTACAAAACTCGTGACCTTTTATCGTATCGAATGAACTCACTTCTAAAACGACATATTGTTGTCCACCGTGTATCATAACTTCTCCATCTGGAACGGCTTCTTCATCTTCTTCGTCTCCCGTTAATACCTCGACCTGTTGCCCATCGATGAATTGTATTTTTTTCTGTCTTCCTAATTTTAACGCTAAAGCTTTTTCGTGAGTTGCCGACTCGGGATCGTGAACCGCGAGGTGTCGTATTAAATTTCCCTTATGTCTAAATGCTCGGCCGCATTCTGAAATCAAAAAAAAAAAAAAAACCCTTTCACTAAATCGTACCTCAAAATTACACACGTACCATTTACTCGTGGATTATGATGCGTACCTGGGCATTCGTGTGTTTTCTCCTTAGGCGTCGGCGGAACATATTCTGGCGTGTGGTATAAATTTTGATGTCGTTTCAACAATTGTTTTTGTCTAAAAGCTTGGTCGCATAAATCGCATTGAAAAGGTTTTTGGTCTGTGTGAATTAACATGTGCGATTCCAAATGTCTCGCCGATATCGAAGCATAGGGACACAAGTCACATCTGTAACATTTTTCACCCTCGTGTGTTTTGTTATGAACCTAAAAAAAAAAAAAAAAAAAAAACACATTACATCATATATCGCTTATCGTACAATTAAATCCATCCGTCCCGCGTGCGTACCTTGTACGTGTACCTATCGGGCAACATTTTCCCACATCTTTTGCATTTTAATAATTTATCCGATATGTGCAATTTTTGCACGTGAATTCGTAAATCAGTCTTCCTACCGCACGTCGTCGGACATAATTCACATTTGAAAACCGGCTTATCCGCCTCGGAATGAATGAGCCTGTGAGCTTTTAAACTATTCGACTGTGTGAATCTAGAATGACATATTTCACATTCGTACGGTTTTTCCCCCGTGTGAATCCTAAGGTGACGTTTTAATTTAAATGTATCCGGACTGGCATATGTACAATGTTGACACTATAAATAAATAAATAATTTTTTTTTATTAGAAAAATAAATTAATTAGTTGACAAATTAATTAATTAAATTTACGTAGTTTTAATATATCTATCTATTCATCTATCTAATTAAGCGTATAATTAATTTTAAATAGCCTAAACGAAAAACCTTTAAAAACACGTTTTTTTAGAGATGACCTCCTCCTCCTCCTTCCTTTTTGACCTCCTCTGCATCAATTTTCTCGTTATATAATTACGCCTTACCTGATACGGCCTTTCTCCCGTGTGACATCTAAAGTGATTTCTTAATTTACTGAGTTCTACACTAGCATAATCGCAAAGTGAGCATTTATGAGGCTTTTCGTGTGTATGCTTATATCTAACGTGACGGACAAGTTCACCTGAAAGCATTACAATAATTCTATTTTTTTTTTCTTATCACTCACCTGATAAGGACGTTCACCAGTGTGGCATCGTATGTGACGCTTGAGTTTGCTTAATTCCACGCTCGCGTAGTCGCACTCAGGACAGCGATGCGGTTTTTCATGTGTGTGCTTGTACCGTACGTGTCTAACAAGTTCACCTAAGGGGACAAGTAACTGAGATTTGAACCTATTCTCAGGCACCTGTGTTTACACGTGTGTGCTAATGCATCAACTTGCTTTTTCTTTTTTTTTTTTTTTTTTTTTTTTTTTTTATATGTATATTTTTCCCTCCCCCTCAAAATTTTCAAAAAAATAATAATAATAATAATAATAATGCATAGAACATAATAATAAGAACCTTGAATAAATTATTGCTGTTTTTTTTTTTTTTTTTTTTTTTATTTAGAGTAAATACAATCCACATAGAGTTAAATTTCTGATGAAAATTTTTCCCTACATGTATATTTACATGTTGGCACCGGTTTTTTTTGTTTATGTGAAAAAATGTCCTCCTTCTGCTTTTGCAACAGCTTTTGTTTTTCTTCCAGGACAAGACTCAAACATCTCATCAATTGAAAAGCTTCTAGATTTTCTTCTAACTCGATTTTTGACAGTTTCTTTTAAATTAAACGATGGACCGTTTCCAATAAATAAAAACAAGAATCAGCTGTTTTTGTTTCGTTTTCTTTTGAGAGTAATTTGACAGATAACTAGACCATGCATGCATGACCTCTTCCATTTTCTTAATGAATCCACTTTTTTCTCTCTTTTATTATTGAAGAAATGACTCGGATGTAATAAAATTCCCTTTGGTGCTTTTTCTTCTGTACCATTTTAAGAGTTGAATCATTTGTTTATATTTTTTTCACATTGTTTGTTTCTGCCATCTTTCTATAATTATTTATCTTTATATAATTTAATCCATTCCCAATTTTATAAATATTACTTAAAACAAATTAAACGTTCATTTCCCTTGATACAGAGCATTTTACATTGTTTGACTCCATTTTTTTTTTTTTTTTTTTTTTTAGTAAAACAATGCAGTGCTAGGTACTAGATAAGCGTACCTTACTTTAACACTCATGTTGAACACAAATACAATTTTTTATCACACTTCATAATTTTTTACATTGAATACAATTACAGCAATTTTAAAAAAAAAATAATCAAATATTATCCAAGGTTCTCATAATTAATAAACACAAACATTTTTTTACACACGATGAAAAAGAAAAAAAAAATAAAAGTCAATGCATTATTATTATTATTATTATTATTACGATCCATGTTTAATCGACTATCATTTCATTATAATGATGATGATAATAATAATTTTACGGTTAAAATCGTTCCGAAAACTCTTTTTCTTTTTTTTTTATTTCGATTTTTTTGATTTATTAAAATATGCATTGTATGATTTGACGCGGGTCTACTACTTCAATCTCGATATTAATAATAATAATAATAATAATAAATAAAATAATAATAATATTAAAAATTTTGCATGCTCATACTCATTATTAAACAAAAAAAAAAAATTAAATAAAAAAAAAAAAAAATAAGCTTGTAAAAAATATATGTAAAGCACAAATAAATTTTTTTTTTTTTTAACCAAAAAAAAAATAAATAAATAAATTAAATAAATATTAAACATACTTTGATAATGCCAAGTAATTTAAAAAATAAATAATAATAATAATAATAATAATAAATTAATAATTACGATCATAATAAATTTACAAAATGACAACGAAATGTGAAAAGTTTTAAAAAAAAAAAAAAAAAAAAAAAAACACAAAATAAAAAAAAAAAAAATCTGCATTAACACAGTAATAAATTAATAATATATATATATATATATATATATATATATATATACATATGTGATTACATATATATATATTTATATAAAGTAGTCGGTACAAACAACACACATGCCAAAAAAAGAAAACAAGCGTCAAATCGATTAAATGCTAATAAATCATGTTTCTTAAATTAACTAATATATATTAATAATAATAATAATAAAACAACCCTTTTTTTTAATCCGGATTTATTTTGGCGCGAAAAACCAACAATTAGGTTGACCAATATATTTTTAAATTATTTCCTTTGAAACAAAAAAAAAAATAAAAAACTTTATAGTCTATCGTAAAATAAATTGGTCAACCTACAAATTTTTTTTTAATCCGGATTAAAATTGAAATTAATAATTAAAATTTGTAAATTTGAATTTAAGTCTTTAAGTCTATTTGAAAAAAAAATAAAAATATATATATATAGGAGGTAATAAAATATAAATAAATAAATTCAAAAAGTAATATTCCATCGAATTGTCTTGAAAAGCAGGGAGAGAGGGGGAATCGATTATTATTACTGATAATATTTAATATATGTTAACGTTAATTAACAAACCTGAAGTTGTGAAAGCGCTATCACAAAATTTGCAATGGTGAGGCTTCGTTCCAGTGTGAGTATTTACATGATTTTGTAGTGATGCCAAAGTCTTAAAACCTCTCTCACATACGCTACACTTGTGTGGCCTTTCTTCCGAATGACTTTTCATATGCCTCGATAGTAAATATCTTTTTGGACTTGTGTAATTGCAATAATTACACATGTGTGTCGTCGATATCGTTTGAGATTTCTTCGTTGGAACTACTTTGCCTATTTTGGATTTATCATCTTCATTTTCCGATTCCTTACAAAAAATTTTTTTTATTAAACGTTATTGTAGTGCTTTTTGCATTTTAAAAATTTACACGAAAAATATAAAATGAAATTTACTAATGGATCCATTTCATTATTTTCTTCACCATCGTCAAAATCATAAACGGTGAGATCTTGATCTTGTTCATTTTCCCCACTGCCCACAACAAATGGTTTTGTTTGTTTTTCCATTGTTTCAGTTTTTTCATTTCCAGCCGAGGGTTGAACTATTAAAACATAGCTTAATTCCCCCGTCGAAGTATCCTGAGGCATTAATGTTACTGTACCATAAGATCCTTCAGTGGTATTAAGTACCATTTGATTGGAACCTTCACTATTTATAGCTACTGCCGCAGCCTGAAAGTTCATACTTAATGGTGAGTAGATACAATTATTTTCATAACTTTTATTTAATTGTACTCAAAATATTAATAAAATAATATTATCGATTTGGATTTATAATTTTTTTCTTTTGAAAATAACATACATTTCCAGAATGCTGCCCACTATTACTAGGTTGTACTATTCCACTAGTCTGTTGTACTGCTACAAAACTTTGGCCATCATTATTCTGAACTGCATTTTCTGTTTCTCCTGTAAATTAACTTATAGTTATTTATTACATCTTTAAGATATTATTTGTTTTTCATACAAATTTTAATGCACCCATATAATTACTTAATAATGTAATTAATAAGAAAAAAGGTTTTACCTGATTGCACAACTGCAACCACAGGCTGTGTGTAGTAATACTGTCCAGATTCATCAACATAATATGTGTTTCCATCTCTAGGTAAACCATCTTGGCCTTCTGAAATTTGAAGAGGATCTCCTCCTTCGATTTCTTTATTAAATGTTTCAAGGTAATTTTGAATTTCTGTTATCGTTTCGCCACCTCCTCCCCCTGGCTGTTCGACTTTAACAAACGTAATTGTTTGATTTGGATCCAAATGTATTGCCTGGCCATCTCCAGCAGTGGCTAAACTTACTGCTATATTTTCAGACATTAAAGGGCAAATGTTCACCCTAAAAAAAAAAAATTAGTTTAACTTGTACAACGATGCAAAAGAAAAATTTTGCTCATAATTGAGTCTTCCAAGAGTCCCATGTAGCGCGCAACCATTTTATAGAAGAAATAAAATGACCGTTATAGTAAACACCGTGAACTGCAGGACCTAAGTGTTTTGATTTATGTACTCTTTGAAAATTGAGTTTATATCATAATTGAAGTTAACATAAGTGATTACCCATTCTAATTCCTACTTTCCAAAATGACAAGCGCAGGCTTTTTCCAGTGGGCAAGGTCATCTGGCCATTTCAATGAAATACCATTCGATAATCACTTATTGAGCTTCAAAAGTCTCACAAAATAAATACCAAAAAATTCACACAAACAATAACAATACTTTATCAAGAAATTTACGCCTTCTGTCGGCCGTAGGGGATATTAAACATAAATTTCTACAAATTGGCACTGTAGGCGCTGTAGTGATGAACAAAGATGGACACAGAAAGTATCTACGGTAAAGGATTCGATTGATGCCTCATTGTGACGTGGAAAAAAAATTAAAGATACATTTATGAAAAAGGAATTGTAATTTATGAAAAACTGTACATGATTCTAAACTTACCGGAATTCTAATTGTGAAAATTCAAAAATATACTGATAGTTGTATTTCTTTTAAAGCCAAAACAATTCGTTTGAGGGCGTTGTTTGTCGACCACCAAAATGGCGACCAAATCGAAACTAACGCAAGCGCCCTATGTTGTAAGAACTCTTCTGACCTATAAAACTCTAAATAATTATCTCTTTTACCTGTGTATGGGCTCCTACAATGAGCTTATACGAAGCTCAAACAACTTCCATTATTTATATATATATATTTTTTCAGTATACTTTCAAAACTATTTAAGATATTTTATTTGACGTAACTTATTTTATTTTATTCCAAATAATTTATTTATTTAAATCGCTTTTCTGAATTATTAAAATTATTTCCAATGCAAACCCTTTAGGTTAATAAATTTTAAAATTTAAAATTTTTTTTTTCTGGGCTCATGTAAAAAATATACGTTGGAAAAATTTATTAATGAATTAACAATTTCCGAAAGTTTAAAATTAAATGAACTCTTTAACAAAAAGATTAAAATTTTTAACGCTTAAATTTTATTTAATTTAAAGTTTAAAAATTAAGGCAATATAATTTTGAAAAATTCTAAATTATAGTTTATACCTATCATTGTAAATCGTTCCCTCTGTCATTAAAATGATTTTTTTTTTTTGAAATTGTTTAATAACAATTAAAAATAAAACTATTAAATTAAAAAAAAAGAATTTACTGTTGAAAACTTTTTTTTGGTTTTATACAATTAAAAGGTAAAGTGAATGAAAAATTACAAATTTTACTAACAAAACAAGGCGGTGCTTTTACGTCTATGATTAGTTTTCCCGGGTTTTTTAGTTATCGAAAAACCGTTGACTGCAGCGCCCAAATCATAAATTAATTTTCAATTTTCCTATACACAGCTATTTTTAAAATTAAAGACCGTTTACAATATTTATTTTATTTTTATTTTTTTAAATTTAAAACTATTCGCAAATTATATTTAAAAATTTGTTTTTTCACATTCATTTATGTGAAATAATTTACGGATTTTAACATATTTTTTAAAGTAAATTGTTTTCTGTTCAACATCTTTTAAAAACATATAAATATAAAATGAGAAATTTAAACAAAAATTAATAGTTAATGTAAATATAATAAGTGACAAATAATACAATATCGTTATTTTAATATTATTATTATTATTTAAAACAATCTGAAATAGTTTTTAACCTTAAAAATGCTAATATTCTTTACAAACCTCCTATATAATTTTTTTTTTTTTCCCCATATAATTTATTTACATAACATCACAATATTAAATGCGAAAAAACTTTTGATTTTTTAAAAATAAAAGTAAAAGAATAATTATAAGAGATTTAATATTGACTGACAAAGAGTTTTTATTTCATTTTTTTCTAAATCTGTTAATACGGACATATTTTGAATTATACTTTCTCCATCTTTTTTCCATCTCGTAATAACTACCGAGTTGCTTTGAGCATTTGAAAAGTTTTTCTCTGTCTCGATGAAAGTTTTCGATAAATTAAATTTGATACATTTGTGTTCGAAATCACTATTCAATAATTTGTAAATAAAATCTTCATAACTATTGTCTATTTCACAGTGCAATTTTTTTTGAAAATAATTAGTTAGTTGAAGTTTTAAATCGGGTGAACATTGAACTGATAAAGAAATAATTTTCGGATGACATGTTATGTGAGCAAAACCGTAGAAACTTTCCAAAGCTTTTTGTTTAACAATAACATTTTTCGACGACAAAAGTGATGCATATATTTCTGACACTGTTTCAATAATATTTTGTTGAAAATCATCAGATGGAATTGTGATAACTGATAAAGCTTTCAATATCCACATGAAATATAGTTGGTTACTTGTAACTGGTGTTAAAAGTATTTCTCTCATTTTACAAAAAATCTAAAATATAAAAGTTTATTATTATTGTTGATTAAAAAAAATTTTAGTTTTATTCAAATTTTTTTTTTTTTTTTTTTTTTTACCATTAATAAGTGTTGAGAAGAAATTTTGCATAATACTGACGCTGTACTTGAACTTAAAAACTTTATATAACTTTCGTAATAGTGGCTACAACTTATAACGGTACAATCAAATTTCCAAGACTTGATTACCCATTTTAAAAGTTTTTCATTTTTTTCTCCATCTTCATTAAAAAAGTGCAAATCCTTTTATATAAAAAAAAAAAAAAAAATAACTAAAATTATTTTTTTTTCATAAATTATTTTTTTAAAATTATATTATTACCTTTTCTGAATGACTAAATTCGAAATCATCAAAATTATCATTTACTTTTTCTATTTCTTTTCCCAAAAAGCTTTTTATTTCATCATATAAATACAAATCAAATTTTATATTTTTATTCAATGAACTTATGCAATATAATTTACTAGAAAATGTTTTTTTATAACTTTCTAAAACTAATTCCTTATGATTTTTAGACAATAGTGGAATGATTCTATAAATCAATAACATCAGATTCCATTTTTCAACCCTATGTGTGTTACTTTGAAATAATTGTAACAGTTTGTTTAATTTTACAACTTGAGTGTAACATAATTCAGAACATGTAAATCTGGAAAAAAAAAAAAAAAAAAATCGATTGTGAAAACTAACAAAAAAATTATTTAGAAATTCTATTTTTACCTTGCCAGTATGCACCAAATATCAATGGCGAGTAAAGCGCACAGAGGATTTGGTTGTATCACATTTAATAATAATTGTTTTTCAATAAGAGCATATTCTTCAGCTGTCGATGTCATGATAAATGCAGCCATTATTGTCATTATGTACTCATACAAAGCGTTATATTTTTTTTGCTGAATTTCTGATGAGCTGATTGCAAGATTTGATAATTTTTTATTTCTACAAACATTATATTTATCTAAAATGAAAATCAATTTATGTTATAATACAAAAAAATAAAAAACGAAAAAGAAAGTTACAAAAAAATTTTATACCGAAAGAAACGTAAAGAAATAGCCATTGTAGAATATTATGATCTTTATTTAACCACAAATTTCTAACTTCTTTCTCTTGATGCATTAATTTTTTTAATATTAAACACCACAATATTGGAAACGCTTCAAGTTTACTTTTAAATAATGTCAAGTCTTTACTGACTTCATCGAATTCTTTGATTAATATTTTGTTACACAGTATATGTGTTAGTAAAGGATCTATTCCATAAGTTAACTGGTTCATAAGATTTTTATTTTCAGCATTGCAATCAGCTTCTGTTAATGATACATTACACCTGAATAATTTACCATTAGTATTAAAATTTTAAATCGAGAAACATTAAAAACAATGACGATTCCAATAATTACCAAATAAGTGAAATAAGAAGATTAAATAATGATTTTTCACAATTTTTCAGACATCCTGAGAATATTTCACAAAATTTAATTATTAGTTTCATATGAAAGCAAGCTAACTTAATGTTTCTACCAAGTTCAACATCATTTTGATTAAAAAAAATGTCTACACTGAGAACTATATTTTCACAAAGACAGTTGATGATATTATCTATTTGAAGTTCATATTTGATTTGATGACAATATTTTTCAGCAAGCCAAACAAATGCTTTCCATACTTTGGCCATCATTTTCACATCTAAATTTCTTAAATTATTTCCAATTTTTGATAAAACTACCATAATTTCAATTAAACTTTTTTCCTCGACTTCATTTTTAAATTCAAACGTTAATTTACTCATTATAATATTTAATATTGATTCTTGCAATTTACAACAATTTTTAAAACATGAAGTCAAATATTCAGTTACCAAGTTGAAATTTTTTCCATAAATTTTTTCACTTGCATTACAATGGCAGTAACAAATAAGTAACATGTTTACCGTGTTAAGCAATAAGCTGTCTATTTCTAATGCATTAACATTTTCATATTCATTTAGCTCAATAAAAAATTTATTGAAACACGATAAAAGAAATGAACAATCATTTAATAATTGATAAAAAATTGTGTTTGAATTTATAGTAGTATCTAAACACTCTGATAAACTTTCCAAAGTTTTAAATTTATTTTGTAATAATTTTTTTGCTGCAGGGCAACAGTATTGAAAAACTGCTTCTTCAAGTTGACTTAGCGGTAAAATTTTTAATCCAAAATTTAATGAGATTTCTATGGCTCTTAAAACTTCAGTTTCGTTAGATGAAAATTCAATGCATTTTCGAACTAATGGAAAAACATTTTTATAATCTGATACATTTTCAACTTCAAAAAGAGTTTTATAAGACTCAGTACTTTGAGTTTTCATTTTATTAAAATTATAAAAATAAATTTAAAAAAAAAAATCACAATTATTGTAATTAAAATTTCATTTTATTCGTCTTTAACTTTACGATTTGGTAAACTTTATAGATTTTTCCCGCCTAATTAATCAAAAGTTGGCAATACGACCACCGCTTGCTAATAGCAGACGTCAAACATTACAACAATATGGCTGCCAATGGCCGTAAGTATAACACGCAGGGTTGTCGTATATTTTAAAAATTATTTCAGAAGTGTTGGTATTTTTAAATAATATATATTTAAATAAATAATAATAATATAAATAAAATAAATAATATAATTAAATATTAGAATTAAATTATTTGGACTTAACAAAAAAAAAAAATATATTTATTTAAACTTTTAAAGTAATAAACACAAATAGCAACAGAATTATAAAATAAATACTTTTATAAAGAAACGAATTCAATGAAAAATATTCATAATTTAATTTCATCAATTTACAAAAAAAAAATTTTTTGGAATGTTAATTTTTTGCACACAATCAAATTTTTTTTTTTTTTTAATGGCACAATTTTAGAAAACGTTAGTATAATATTAAAAGTAAAATAATAACTATTATATAAAAATTTGAATTTAATATAAAACTATTAATTAATTGAATAGAATTAAAATATAAACTATTTTTGATTTTTAGAATCAGACCAACAACTTTGTCCGACAGGCGTGGGCTTTAAATAATCAAAATATATCATGTATGAAAAAGAGCACATAAACACCATTAATGTAAAAATTATAATCCATTGTTGTTGTCGTATTAATTTTAATTCTTCTTTTAAACTATTTATATACGTGTTCAATTTCGTTATCTAAAAAAAATATTTAAAAGTATAAATTATTATTATTATTATTAATAAGAAACATACATTAAATTACTTTTACTAACATCTGAACTTAGTTTCGTTACTACTTTAGGGTCATCAATTGTTTGCAATTGAAGTACGGAACCATTTTTTTTACCACTTTCGCCTAAGAAATGTTGAGGTATCATGCACTGAATTTTGTGCTGGCGTATTTCCTTATCACCAGTTTGCTAAAAACAACAATAAGGACAAAGCATACCTTAATATATAGTCATTTGCAAACTTGTTATAATTCCTAAATAAATAAAATTTTTATCGACTTGCCTTCCACAAATCATTTATTTCTTGCTGTGTCATTTCAGTGTGTTCTATAGGTATACTCATAACTAAAAATTTATCTCTCTGAATACTCTGTATAAGGTAGCCTGGTAAAAGTACAACGCTAACTGCGGTATTTGCACCTGGAGCTAGGGTGCCAAAACTAGGCCTGACTCTAAATTTTTCAGGAGAAGTTGTTTTAATTTTGAATGATATTGACTGTGTATCATCATTTTTGAGTAATATGGAACTAGTCACTTCACTACCTTCATTATTAAACATCATTACATCAGATGTGGTTAAACATCCAGTATTAGAATTAGGCATTGACGATGATGATGGCGATTCTTCAAGTCTGTAAATAAATATATATATATGTAACATTTAAAATATTGATAACATAAAATTGAAACATAAAATAAAAAAATTGAAGGTAATTCAAATGAACTTGCCCACTTTCTTGATCCGATTTTAAAGGAGTGTCTGCGAAATGAACTTTTTTTTTGTTTTCATCTCCGCTCGATAGTGAACTCATTCCACTTTTTTGTTCCGGTTCAAAATGATACGTAAAAGAATCTTTACCTCCCCATGATTTTAATGCAAAATCTGGATTAACATAATCTTTCACATTTGATTTATTAACAAATTTCATTTTTTCTACCGCTTTCGGAGGAAGTAAAGTTTTTATTACTCTAAACACGGCTAAAGAAAAAATTAAGTAAATAACATTAAATAAATTTTTAAAAAATAAATTGTTAAACATAAACTTAAACAGAAACAAGATTATTACTCACCATTTAACACCCATGCCATCTCGAAAATTATTATGTAATTCAAAAAATATGGATAATAATTTTTAAACAAGCTTATAATGTATTTTGTATAATCCATATCCATATTTGCCATTACAGCACCTTCCATGTCGAAAAATAATGATATCATTTCACCATTTTCTTGCCTGTAAATCAAGACATTTATTATTGGTTTGTTTTTAAGTAAAATATTTGATAATTTTTTAAATATTAACCTTTCCAATCTTTCCATCCAATAAACCAAACACTTTTTATGATCCTCAAAATCGAAAGCTCCTTTATAATGATGTTTAGATTTGAATACAAGTAAAGTTTTACCATCTTTGTCTTTTCCAAATGGAAAAACACTGCCTAGTTCTAAAATCTCTTTGTTAACATTTTTTTCCGATATATCTAAAATATTGAAAATAATTAAAATGCGTATTAATATTGCTATTTCGAAACTTATTTAATTAGTTTATACATAAAAAACTATGGGAATATATATAAGGCATTCCATTTTAAATAATTTTTTAAAAAATTTAAAGATAATTTGCTAAGTTTTTACCATTGGTACCAAATTTTTTTCTCCATTCACAAGCATCCCAAAGCATATTAAGAGCACCATCAAGATTACCATCATGGTGCATTAAAAATCTCCTCAAATATGCATCATCTGTTTTTACCCTGTTGATATCAGCAGGGTGAAAAATGTCTATAAAAAAAAAAAATTGATAAATTAAAATTTTAAGTAAATAAACCAATAAAAAAAAAAATAACTAAAGTAAAAGTTGCGTAAAAAATTTATCTTTCATTGATAAATCATAATCAAACATATTATTAACACTCAATTTTAAAATCAGAATAATAAAATTTAAATTTGGGGTTGTTTATAATCGAACCAATTAAAAAAATTAATTTTAATTATTAATTTAGTTACCAGAATCTGCACTTTCCAATTTTTCAAAAAATTGGCTTCTTAAATCTTGAACATCAATCTTGTTTTTGTTCATTTTAAAGTGAATTCGGGCATTAAAAACTGGTTATGTTGAAAATAAAAGTAAATCGAACAGAAAATTATTTAAACTGCACAAAAAAATTTACAAAAAATTCAGGTAACAACCTGGCTTACTTAACCCTAACCACTAAGGATAAAGTCTACAGACTTCGAACCTAAAACATGTATATTCAACCATTCATTACGAAGTTATGATAAGTAATTAGCATTTTAATACGAAACAAAACAAATATTTTTTGACGGTTAACATATATTCAGAGTAGAATTCACAACAATTTCCTTTCTAAATCATATTTTAAAAAATTATATATCATTAGGAACAATAACATTAATTCTCCAATTCAGCATTCGACAAAATTTTTTTTTACTGTCATTGATTGGAAAATAAAATTTTATAAATTTTTTTTTTTATGTTAGGACGGAAATTAATCATTGAAAAAAAAAAAAAATAGATTTAAATTTGGCAACAATGTAATTTTTTTAAAATCATTCTAAAACTTAAGGTAAACGTAGAAAAAACGGTTATGAATAATAACAAGGCCTGAATCAGGGATGCCATTTTATTCAATTGAGGGCGTTACCTAAGAATTCAATACAGCAAGCTTTTACTAATTTATTTTTTTACTCGTGATATGTAAATATATTTTATATATACCATAAAAGTTAAAATCTTAATTTTTTTTTATTCAGTAAGTATTGCCAAAGAAATTTTTTTTAAAGACTTTAATTTATAAATAAAATTTATAAATAAAAAACTAATTATTTTTTTTTTTTACTTATGAATTCATAAATGAACATTACAGCTTTTGTTGAAATTAAAATAATGTTTTTATTAAAATATTAAAATACTTTTTTTTTTTTTTTAAAGCAAACAATATTTAGAAATTTACTGAATCCTTGATTCTTATTTAATTACATGTTTCTTTTACGCTTGACTCACCGACCTAAAATTAGCATTTTAGTACTTATGTTAAAAAAAAATATTCACTGGAGTTACCAATGCTGTGTTTAAAAGTTCTTTCAAGTAGTATTTTTTGTTGCAGTTAAAAGAAATATGAAGATTTTTTATAATGTCATCGCCATTTGATGAGCGTGAAGAATATTTAAAAAATCCATTTTTAAAAAGAGAATACGGTGACTTTACTACATTTTATGTTATTATAGCCATTTGCACCATCTTTGGGTTTTTTTTGTTGGTTTTAAATGTGAGTTTATGCTGTTCGAAATACAAGAATTATTGGTGTGATAGTAACACAGGTGAGGGATTGTTATATACCATAAGAGTATATACTATGTGTTGTGTATTTACTTTTTCGTAAAAAACTTGTTATTAAATTATTTAGGTAATCGTTGGATTCTTCCGATTTGGACCAAAACTCCTCATTTACAACCTCCGTTGGATCTTACTGAATTAAATGATGAGTATATACCTCCACCTGTGACAGAGCCTTATTATATTTATCCAGACAATTATTCAGATTTTGAAATACAACAACCGCAAACGGATCAGCAGTACATTGAAATGCAACTTGGAAAAAAATCCAAAGAAAGTGATCTTTGAATTTTTTTTGTTTTCTTTATATCGGAGTACAAATATTATTTTTATATTAATTGTCACAATGGCCTTTCATGTTTATTGGCCTGCTTTAAGTATTTTGACTCTATTTATCGTCCTTGTAATAATAGTTTTGTTGAGATGGGGTCCCAAGTTTTGCAAAACTCGAAACACTACAATAAATAATGAGTATGATTGGGAAGAAAAATCATATGAACAAAAAATTTCAATTGCTTGATTAATTTTTTTTATAATAACATGGTGGTGCTTTTTGCATTAAATTTAATTTCAGAAAATTTAGTTTAGTTTGCATGGGTTGAAAAGGGTCAGAGTATTAGAGTAGGATAATTTTTTTAAGATGTCTTGCTTAATATGTAACTTAACATTAGGTTTCATAATTTTATTTTTAAAATTTTGTTTTTTTTTTCGTAACAGTATGTTTTAAACATAATTTTTCTGTTAGTACAAAATAATTTTTCTCTTGATAAAAAATTCCGAAATTAGTTCATGTAAGAAATTAAGTTTAATTTACTTTTTTTTCCCCCCCCCGTAATAAAGGAAAATTGTTTTATGTGTTCGATATTACAAATATCAACTACTTTAAGTTTTTTTTTTTTTTACTTCTGTAAAACATCTCGAGTATTTTATTCATTCCAACTTAAGAATTATATGTCATTCTAATAAGTATTTATTTTAACTTTAATGAGGTTAATAAAACAATATAAACGCCCAAAAACTAAGATATTAATTGTTTAAACACTATAGATTTTAAGGTTAATAATGGTTGCCTTCATTAAATTAAAGACTTTTTATATAACTTTCCGTCCAAAAAGAATATCTTGTAGAGATTAAATAATTTTTAAACTTTATAATTGTTTTTTAAATAAAAAATTTAATTATTGTATTTTGTACTTTGTAACATTTTACTAAAATGTCGAAATATTTTAATAAATTATATATTTAAATTTTTGATATTGGTTTTAGAATTTGTTCGATACAAAAGTTTTTCAGCATCCTTAAAATTTTTTTATTTTTAATTAAGTCAGTTTTTTTAGTGGAAAAATTTTTTTTAAAATCCCTAAAAATTCGTGATTGACACTAAAATAAATTTCCCTAATTAATGTCTGAATTTGTTTCTATGAAATGGAGACAGAAAATGTTTTTAAAATTTGATTTGAAGTTGAATCCACAGTTTTAATTTTTTTGTTTATTAATTAGGTTGGTAGCATTTTCGTATTTGATAAAATTTTATTGGCAAATTAACAACAAGAATATATTTTTATTTTATTTTTTTTTGGTCTCACGTCAAGGTTCATTACGAAAATTAATGCATAATTAAAAATTTAATTCAAAAATGAGTGTTGTTCATGCCCAAAAATTAATAGTCACAAACGAATCAAATTCCTGTTGTAGATTTGAATGCACTTCTAGTAAAAACGAAAAATGTAAACAATGGAAAAGTAAAGTAATTACTTTGGAGCTGCCTTTAATTGAAAAATTTCTACAAACAAGACAGTTTCCTCTAAATTGTAATTTTAAAACTATAATTTAATATTATTATTATTTAGGATCAATCTTATGAAGGTTCTTTTTTGGGCAGCATTTTTCACGGCAGTGGAACTTATAAATGGAGTGACTCATGCGTATATGAAGGATATTTATATGCAAACGTTAAAGAAGGTTACGCCGTTATTTCGTTTCCCGATAATGGATATTTTGAGGTAAAAATAAAACAAATTAAATATTTGCAACGTTTTCCATTGATATGAAAACAATAAAATTACAGTGTGAAACAAGGATTTTAAACAATTTTTCATACCGCCTATGTTTAACTTATATAAAACGAGTTTTTATTTTTGACAGAGTTTTCTAACCGTTTAAAGATTTAATTAATATCAATTTAAATCAATGAAATTAATTTTAGTTTTCTCGTAATATTATTAATCGTCGTGACATCTAATTTTTGTAGGGTCTTTTTGTTAAAAATTTACCATTTGGCCCCGGAGTTTGGACTTATTCAAATGGACGACAAGATGTCGGTTTTTGGAAGGGGAAACTATTGGTACGACTTAGTAGACCGGTAGATTTTATTATTCCAAGATTGGCACCATCTCTTATTTCAAAAATTAAACTTTTGCAATATCGACAATTTTCTTCATTTTCAGAGGTTTTACAAAATTAATTTTAATGATTTGAAATTCTTTTGGCAAGTTTTTAATATAAAATTCTTTTAAAATAAATATTTCACAGGGAGAAATTGTTGAGAAAAAAGAAATTTTTAATATAAACGAAAATGAAACATCATTTGAAATTTGTCCGCCATATTCTACACTTATTTACGATCCCAGAAGTATTTTTTTCGATAGACCTACATTTGATGCTCGTCGATTTTACGAATGTGTCGGTGTGACATTAAAAGAAAGAGATAATATTAATAACGGTTTATCAATAATTAATAAATCAAATTGTTTTTTGGAATCGCAAATTTGTGACGATAATAATTTTTTTTTTTTAAACGACGACGAAAAAAATATAAGTAGTGAATTTAACGAAGATGAAATGTCAACGGATACTCGTATAGGTATACTCAATTATTACACTAAATACGGTAATTTTGATGGTTTAAAAAACTCCCTTTTACAAAATAATACCTTTAATTTCGAATACGATGATGAAAATACCAGAAATGTTGAAAATCAAGAAATTCATACTAACAAACAATCTTCTTTAAAAATACTCTCATGGAATGAAGGAGAATTATGTACGGACATAGCTAAACAAATATATTTAAATCGGAAATTTGAGGTTTAAATAATTTAAATAATTTTTAAAAATTATCCGAATTATATATAACAGTACTCGTAGTTTTAACTTTTTACTTTTTTTCTTTCATTTTCAAGGACAAGCTTAATTTTAAAATAATCGAATTACTGAGAGGTACTCGTACATCTTTTAGAAAAACCGGCGAAAAAGAAAGACGATGTTTACAATTTTTAAAATTATGTTCTACGGGGCCTAGCAAAGATGTCAGAGAATTATTATGTAGTGGTTTAATAAGTGAAGAGCTGATGGATAGCAGAGGAAATAATGCCATGATGTTTGCAGCAGTAAGTTCTAATGTTACACAAAGCCTTCATTGTTTCAATGGAGGGGTAATTATATAAAAACAGGTATTTTGCTTAATGTACTTAACAGGCTACAGATCAACATGAAATTATTGACATACTCGCGGACTATGGAGTCGATATTGATGCTTTTAACGATGAACTTTTAAATCCTTTGACTTTATGCTTGCTTCGAAGAATTGCAGTCAGTAATAATTTATCAAGTTGGGAAACAGTATTTTTACCTCCCGATTCCTGGAAGATAAAACCAGAAAGTAAATTTTCTAAATAAAAACAAATTATATTTGTTAAATTAACAAATATTAAACGAGAATCTTTTTTTTTAAAATCAAGCATTGAAATCTAAAAACAGTTTGATTGTGAACGAATCGATAGTAAGTCTCGATCGTATTTTTGGAGATGGAACTTCCATAATGGAAGAACAACTTTTAAATTTTACAAAAAATTCTTTAACCGATAAAAAAAAATCAAAAGAATCTGACATTTCCGATAAAGAAGAAAATTTAGATCATTTAAATTCGAACGGAGGTTTTAATGTTAAAAATGAAAATTCAAATCATGAGGAGGAAGTGATTGAAATTTCAAGTTCTGTAAATTTTTATGCAATATCCGGAAATTTTACCACGACCAAAAAATTATCATCTAAACCGAAAACAAATAAAAGAGAAGAATACCTTAAAAGCATTGAAAAACCTGATGCGAATGCTCAATATTTTTTTGCATTTCGTCCGGAACAAGATAATTCTTCTGTCAAAGAGAAAAAAGAAACGACGGCCGTTGACAAAGAAAATTACGACGAACCAAAATCCGATGAAAAAATCGATGAAAAAATTATCGAAAAGTAATAATAAATAATAAATATAAATTTGAGATTATTTCGATTGTGATTTTTAATAAATTTTTTTTTTTTTTTTTTTTTTTTAGATTAGAAAATATTGATAAAACAATTGAAAAACTTTTGCAACACGGAGGAGATATTGAATTATCAGAAGTTCCCAAACCGTTAATTCATTTAGGAATATTTACAAAAGATTTAAATTTAGTGAGACTTTTGCTACAGTTCAATGCAAATCCCAACCGTCGACTATTACCACAAGTAATTTTTTTTAAAAAAAAACATTCTTTTAAATTGTTTTTTTTTTTTTTTTTTGGACTCGCCAATTTCTTTTTTCGAATAGGATGGATTGTTAACTCCTTTACACGTTCTATCTCTTTTACCGCCCGATTCTGACTATACGCAAATTGCTCTTTTATTATTGGGAAAAAAAGCCAATTTAGAATTGGAAACATCTCCTGATTTTACAATAAGAGAAGATGAACTATCATTTCTTAATAAATATTACGGAAGGACTCCTTTGCATCTTTTATGTATGAGACCCGATATTGAACATGGAGATTTGGAAGGAGTAATTATTATATTATGAATTATTTTATTAAAAACTTGATTGTTTACGCTTCAAATAAATTTCAAATTTCAGCACGTTATTAATTTGGGGGTTACTTTGGCTAGAGAAGCGGATAAAAATCATTTTTACAATGGACATTCGGGGCTAACACTTTCCATGATTTGGGGTAATTTAAGATTGGCAAAAGCATTTTTAGAATCAAAATGTTTCGATCCGAATCAGGTATTGGGCGAAGATCTCATATCTCCCATGTTTGTCTTGGTATCGAAAGATTTTCAGAAAAGAACAGATTATGAAAATAGTATTCAAATGGTATGTGTCAAAAGAAAAAACCGAAAACCGAAAAATTAACAATTTACTACAAATTTTTTTTTTTTTTATTATTCAGGCAGACATGTTACTTAAAGCAGGAGCGGATATCGATTTAGTTCTCACTCTGGCAGATAAAACTCGAGGAACGTGTATAGATTTTGGTTACAAAGAAATAGATAAAGAAAAAGCGAAAAGAAAAATTAACGGGACTGATAAATTAGAGAAAGAAGAGAGCAGGGATTATTTAGGGGATAGTGCTAAAGTATTGGAATACCTTACGGGAAAATTACAAAAATCAAGAAAAAATTCACAAACGGGAAAAAATTCTAATAAAAAATTAAAAACTAATAAAGGGGAAGATTCGAATGGTAAACATATAAGAAAAAATCGTAAAATGGTAGAAGAAGAATCCGATGATGATGATGATGATGATGATGATAATATTGACGAAAAAAAAAAAAATAAAAATTTAAAAACGGATAAAAAATCGACAAATCGAAATCAAAACGCGAGCGAAAAAAAAGATAATAGAAAAAAAGTAAGAATAATAGATAGCGGTGAAAAATTAGTAGATGGTGGTAAAAAAAAAAAAGAAGAAAAAATAAAAAAAAATTTCAAATCAAAAACTAATGAAAAACCACAAAGTCGAAAATCTAAAAATGAGGCTCATAATAAAAATACTAATAATAAAAAAAATACTAATAATACTAATAATAATAATTATATTAAGAGTTTTTTAAAAAGTCTATATGATTCGAGAGGAAGTAGAAAAGAAAAAGATGTCGAGAGTGGTAAAATAGAAGAATTATCACAAACCGACAGCAATTCGTTATCGAAAAATTTTCAAAAAGCTGTTTTAAATTCGTTATTTGAATTATTTGGTGGTTGTAGAGATATTGATGATAATATTTTTCTTTTACCATACGTCATACTTCGTAATGGAAATTTTTATTATAAATTTAACGAACCGAAAAATTCAAAATCTGAACAATACAGTTTAATTTAAATTATTGTTTTAATTTAAAAAAAAAAAAAAAACTTTAAATCTGATTAATCAACCATGAAGAAAACGTTAAATAACAATTTATTTTAAATAAATTATATTTTTATTGCACACGAAATTTCTTTGCTGTTGTTTATTATTTAAAAAAAAGACATTCAAACTAATAATAATAATAATAATCGTAAATCGATATAAATAAATTATTATTATTTGACGACCATTTTTTTTTTTATGATTATTATTATTTATTAATTTTCCTGCGATTCAATAACGATACCATATTTTATTTAAATTTTTTTCCAAGTTTTGATGAAAATATCCTAAAGGAAATACAGGACGGACAGGTTTTAACAACAACTAAATAACAAAAATTTATATATATAAGAAAATATTTAATTAAAATTTTTTTTTTTTATAAAACTAGACTCTATAAAAAAATAATTTTAGATAATTTTTTCTCTCTCTCTCTCTCTCTCTTTCTTTTTTATTTTATTTTATTTTATTTTTTTAACCAAAAAAAAAAAAAAATTATTTATGATTTTCGGAATTAAATAAAAAAAAAAAAATTCATATAACAATAATAAAAAAAAAAAAAAAATTTTTATAAAAAATTAAAATTGTAAACAAATTTAGGTATATAAAGGAACCCCGTTACGGAAATCGAATATTCACAATAATAATAATAATAATAATAATAATAATAATAATAATAATAATAATAAATTTTTCGTAAATGCAAATTAATGATATTAAATAAAGCTTTTGTTAAGTCTCAAATTTTTTTCTTAAAAAAAAAAAATAATAATAATATTATTGAGAACGGTTAATAATGCATGTTTTAGTGAAAGTCTATCTTGAAGAAAAACTTTTTAAAAAAAAAAAATTAATTGATTTAAAGCCATTTTGAAATAATAATAATAATAATAATAAAAACAATTTTTAATTTTTTTTTTTTTTAACTTGTTTAATCATCGGATCGATTTGTGTGTGATACTTCCGGTTGTTGCGTAAACAAAAAAAAAAAAAAAAAACATTTTCTTTTAATTATTAATTAATTAATTATTTTCTTTTATCCCCGTTCTTTTTTTTTTTTTTTTTTATAAATTGAGCACCTTTAGACTTGAATTATACAATTATTTCATTATAATCCTTTCTTTTATTTTTTCAACACAGAGGTGAACCGCTCAACATTCAACCGCTTTCATAATCTTCGCGTTCAATCATAACAAGGTATAACATATAAAACGGAGCTGGAAATTTTTAAAATTTACAGCATGGTTTTTGTTTTTTTTGTTGTTGTTGTTGCCCTTCGGGGAAAAAAAAAAAAAAAAAAAAAAAACCTATGATGGGATTCAACCACATAGTCTACAACAACTTATTTATTTATTTATTTTTTCATTACAATCCGGACGGTTTTTCCGTGGCCGACGTGACGACTTCGTTAAACGATTGTTCCAAACAATGTTTTAATTCTTCGTATGAAACTACCAAAACGCTTTGCTCATCTCTCGACATTAAACATATCTTTAACGATAAAACAATAATTTATTATTTTACATAATTTTTATCCACACGAATAAAGGTCTCACTCAAATATTTCTCATTACTTTTTCTAATGAACCTGAATCCAATTTATTAAGGCATTGTACTATGTGGGCCATTTCTAACCAGGGTCTACCATCTTCCGTCACTTGATGAAATATATAATCTCTGAATAATTTTAACATGTATCTGTCTCCGGTTTCCGACCAGCTCGGATCTAGACTAAGCCTGAAAAATAATTAAATAATAATAATAATAATGAATGGATGATAAAACTCTACAACTGAACGTAATTACAATTATGCAAAACATACTCGGGCCGTTCGTTTATCGTTCCTAATTTAGCTAAAAGTCTACAGAGTCGACCGTTATCTATTTCCTTGGTCAATTCGTTTTCTATATCATCCGCGTATGTTTGTATAGTTTCCAACTGAGCGTAAAATCGAGCTCCTATCATTGGCATTAAGTCTGTTACAGTGCGTCGCTTTTGATTATGTAAAAGATATCTGAAAATCAAAGTGATAAAAAAATAATAATTTTGACCGTTAAAAGAAAAGGTACATCTTTTAAACTTACACTATTAAATTTTTTAAATCCGAAGAATACGTTCTACCGACTAAATCCAATGACGTTTGAATATTTTCACGTTGAACAGCCAAAAGTGATTTACACGATAATGCCAAAACAAGTTTACCCAAAGCTGTTAAATCTTCTTGCTTTAAATAATTAGAGAAAATCAAATGGCATTGTGCTTTATTCCGGTAAAAAAAAAAAAAAAATTAATCGTCAATTGCAATATAAAATTATACTAACCTGATAATGAGGTATGAGGGCCAATGGATTAGTTCCGCTTGTATCAGGTGTTAAAACGTCCGTTACACCCGTGCAACTTATTCTTAATCTGTTTCTGCTTGAAACTATAATTTTCGACGGATCTAAAGTTCTGCAGGCTAATCCGGCTCCGTGAATAACTCTAACGGCTGCAGTTATCTAATAAAATCATAAAAAAAAAATTAATTATTTTTTGGAAATTCATTTTGCTAATAAATGTAAAAATTGACATACTTGTATAATATAATTCCATAAAAGATTTTCGGGAAGCATAGAGGAATGTTGATGTCGAAGCAATGTATTTTTTGTATGGCTATATGGACGAGGAGCTGTAGGATCCGATGAAAATGGTGTAGGGCCTGTACTTTCCGATGATGAAAAGTGCCTGTTCCATAGAGTTTCACTACCTGGATGATATTCATGAACAAAAACAATAGCTGAAAAAAAAAAAAAAAATAATAAAAATAAAAAAAAAATGAATTTGGTAATTTTTAAATATTAATTTAATAATAATAATATTAATTTACTAACAATTGTCACCGAAAGCCTTTGTTGTGAATACTTCCTTTAGCTGTACAATATTCGCATGACTGAGTCTCTTCCACATATCGACTAAAACCATACACTTTGAACTTGACAAGCGAAATCCTTTAGTAAGTAACAAAAATGTTTTTTTTTTTAAAAACAATTTTTTTTTTACAAAAATAAAATAAGTAAGTAAATACAGTGTAATTAAATTTTTTTTACTTGCCATGAATTCGTCTCAAACAATACCGAATTCCTGTTTTTATATGAGTAGCCTTATAAGTAGAACTATGACCGATTTGCAAAGGACCACCAATGGGTAAAGGTTCCAAAGGTACTAATTCATGGTAATTGTCTACTGATTCAGGTAATTCTGTAATAGGCAGTAAGAATTTAAGGAGTAATATTAATAAAAAAAAAAAAAATTTGAATGTTGTATAAATTTTAAAGATAATTTGATACCTGGATAAAGTGTAGGATCTGGTTGAAGCATAATTAGGGCACTTTTTTCTAAAATTTCACTTCGAATGCTATCTGAGACATAAAAACTTGGAGAAGATGAGATCAAGGAAGTTTCTTCTTGGTTTAAATGACTGTGATTTCCTGCATACCCCTGAAATTGTGTTACACCACTTGAAGAAGATTCACTTGCTACAGTGGTTGCTGGGTAAAAGTAAGTTGTACCTCCAAGATTTTCCTATAAACAGTAGTAGTAGTAGTAGTACTCATAATTATTAATATTGTAGTTCACAAATTCAATTAAACAAAGCATCCCGACACAAACCTGATTAACCTGGTAATGATAAGCAGGAGCAGGATGTACAATTGAATCATTTATTAATGAATTTAAAACAGGTGATTCCCTTAAAGGTGGAGGTGTATTTAAGTTTGTACTATCACCATTACTAGTAGCGACTAAAGGTCTAATACTATTGGATGAAGGTAAGTCACGACGAACCTGCAGGACATTTTACATATTAAATAAGCTCAAGCAAAAAAATATTAATTATTTGTTCATGCAGCTAATAAGAAAATTAGTAAAAAAAAAAAAAAAAAAAAAAAAAAACTTACTAATAGTACAGAGTCCTTGCCAAGGGATGGAGTTGAGTCTAAGCTAATGGAGCCAATAGCATCTGTGAGAGTGCTATTGATGATAGGTGCTGATGAAGTTTGATGATTCTAAAACATTTTTATTATTTTTAATTTACAAATAACAGTCATAAATTTCAAGTTTGTATTTTTTTAAAAATTTTTTAGTTTTTTAGTATCAAAGAAATATACATTTAATTTGTTTTTATTTAATTATTTAATTATCGATAAGTTCAAACATATATTTCAGTTATAATTAAAAAAATTTTTCAAATACCATGTAAGTAGCTAATTTGGACTCCTGAGGTACTCCATTAACTTGAGAAAAAGACATAAATAAAGGGTCCATTCCAGAATATTTTTAAATCTGAAATTGATGTTAAATAAAACATTATAAGCATTTTGTATACATTAAAAAATGTTTACTTAAGTGTATTGAATAAAAATTTTAAAAAAAGAACAACTTGAAATGTAAATATGTGTAAAAGATAAATGTTAATTTTTTTTACATATAAAGTAATTTTCAATAAGCACATGTTTAATTTATAACATGACATGATAATAAAAAATAAATTCAATGACAATAATGCCATCAGGTGTAAATAATAACTTTTTACCATTTTTATTTGAGAAGGTATTTATCAATACCCGAGATCTTTTGGTATACAATACTGTTGTTATAAAATTGAATAAAATAAAAATAAAAATAAAAAAAATATTGGTTTAAAGAAGAAAAAAAATTGCAAAGAAATTGTTGACGACACATATGAACATTATTGCAAGCCTGTAGCAAGAACAAACAAGGGAAATTGTAAAAATGTTACATCTACCGTAAAATAATGTTTTCCAATTCAAATTATTTTATGTAAAATAATCGAACAAACCTTTCTCCTTAAGATAATATCATAACAAACAATGCATTTTTAAATAAGCTTACAATAATTTTAGAATAAGAAATAAAGCATCATAAACACTTCGGCATTTCCCAGATTCTCTTCGTGTTCTTCCGTAAAAACTTAAATTCACAATATTTTTTTAAGTGTTTTTAAACAGTTACTTTTTTTTTTAAAAATAAAATCAGTTAGTTTTTTTTCTCACTTGTTCAAGTTAAACAGCTTAAACTCTTTTGTAAAAGTAGTGACCTAGGTTTTGCGCAATTTTTTTTTTTTACATCTTTAAGTATTTAAAACTATTGCGTTGTATCTACAACGAAGTAACATCGTTTTCTCTATGATGTTTCCTTTTTATTCTATGCCTACATAATATTTTGTATTCCAAACAACTAGTTGTTAATTTTTTTTATCTTTAACCGTTTAATATTTATTATTACGTGCATTAAGTAAATGTGTATTGCGTTTTTTTAAAGTAAAAATTATTTTTAACTTTTTAAAAAGGTTTTTCTAGTTTTATTTTATCTTAGTTTTAAAAGTAACAAGTTTTTATTTTCTTAACCTATACTTGGTAGTTCATATTACAAAGTTAAAATATTCATCTGCTGTTGTCTTAAAGGCAAGTATTATAAATTTATTTTTATTTTATTTTTATATTTTATTTTTATAGAAAAAAAGCATTTTCTTAAGTAACTTGTAAGTAATACCTTTAATATTTTACTAACTTAATTGTCGTTTTTAAGTTTAAAGGATTCCATTTTTTCATAAAAATTTTATTCTTTCTTTTATCTTTTTTGGAAAAAATCTTTTGAAATGTCACATTTATGTTTTTCCAACATCATATGCTACTATTATTATTATTTTTTGTAAATTGATTTGAGGAGGGATAATTTGAATTTTAAAATGACTCGAATTTAAAAACAACAACGATACACAAATTTTGGGAAAATTATGAAAAGACGGAATAGGTTAATATAAAAATTTTAATTCGTCAAAAAATTTTTTTTTGAAAAATTTTATTTGTTTTTTCGCATATTCTTTAAAACGAATCGAATAATACATTTTAAAATTAATCAAAAATTATATTTATATATTTAAAAGTTTAAACAACAATTAGTTTTTAATTTTAACTTTTTTTTTTTTTTTTTTACAAATTAAAATTATCTCAAAATATTTCACATCACTAATTTCCCAGTCTAGGATGATTTGAGCAAATATTTTTTCCCATTAAATGATTCCTCCAAGAGGTTTCATCGTTACCAACATCTTTATGACAAAATGGACATTTGGCTTTTAGCGTTTTATTTTTAGCAACTGAAAACAATTTGACAGTAATTAAAACGGAGACAAAACACAAAACAGTATGTTTTTACATCTGTTAGCTTTACTTATGCACTCGTGATTCTTATACAAGTCTTCCAAAACAGCTTGCTGACATTTACAACATTTTTTAAACAGGTGCTTTTGACTGCATTCTTCTGCAACAATAAATATAAGTGTAAAAGTTGTGACACGTCAGGAAATCGAACTGTAATGATTTTCAAAAGCATTTACCCAGCAAATGATTTGTAAATCCTGAAATCTCTGTCACTTCCACGCAATATTCACACGTTGTTAACATTGGACAATCGTTTAAATAATGTTTGTTTAAACATTCTTCATTCGGCCATTTTTCCGAAGTCAAACAAAAAATACACTTTGTCTTTTGAACTTTATTATTGTCATCTTTGTTCGAAGAACCCAATTGATTTTCATTTTCTCTAATTGATGCTAACATGCTTTCGGAAAATTGATTGTTTTTCTGTGTGAATTCACGATTTCTACTGCTGACTTTTTCTATTTGACTTTCTAAATACTGCATAAATGTTTCCACCGGTATCCCTCCTCCTTTTTTATGCAAATTTTCCAGAATATCGTTTGATGACATTTCGGTTATTTCTTTACTTTTTTTCGTCTTTTTTTTTTTTTTGTCATCCGATTCTTGGGAATGTGGATTTTGAAAATTTTTTTTTATAACATTATCTGGATTCGTATTATTTGGAATTCGATCTATTTTTTTATCGTTAAAAATCTTTTTCGAATCAACAATTAAATATTTTCTATTTGAACCCGTGATGGGAATGGGTATGCCTGAAGAATTAACATTTCTCTTTTTCGTTTCTTTTTTTTTCAACGATGGACCGCAACAACTTTTTTCCACGTTTTGTATTTCGGTTGTAACGGTTTTCGATTGACAAATCGTTCGAGAACGTTCTCCTTTGACCCCCTTTGATTTGTCCAATTTAACTTTTTGAAACAAAATCCGCGCTTTTGCTTCATCTATGGAATCCGTTAAAGGCGGGAAATTATGATATGACGTCACACCTTTCTTTTTATTTTCAGTTTCGTTCTCACCGATGGAAAATGCCGTTGAATTTTTTTGTTTTAAACGTGATTCGACATTTGATTGACGCCCGACATTTTGTTTCGATTGTTTACAAGGTGATTTTTCATTTTTTTTTACATCGGATTTATTTTCACCTTTTCTAATTACAACGACACTTTTACTTTTTTCATTAACGTTCATTGACATGAAATTTTTAATTGTTTTTAATTGCGATTCGAAATTGGGAGACGTTTTCCTATCGATTTCTTGATTATTGTTCAATGAAAAACTTTTTCCGTTCGGATTATTTATGCTTTGCACATTTTGCTTTGGACGGTTTAAATTCACGGCATTGTCTTTATCATTCTCTCCGGATATTTTAGATTTATTCTAAAAAAAAAAAAAAAAAAAAAAAAAAAGAAAAAGAAATAATAGCATTAATAATAACCAATAACTCTTTATATAATACAAATTTATTTTATTTGATTATTATTATTATTATCATTTAAAAAATTTTCAATTGTACTTTTTTATTCTTTAAAAGTACCTCAGAATCCATTAAATCAAATTCTTTAAATAATTGCCTATATAATAAATTTCTTCTTGTGACGTCATCATCCGGCGGTAACTGTTTTCGAACGATTCTCGAATTTACTTTATACACGTGTAATAATATCCTTTCTGAAACTTTTCTAACGGCTTCTGCCGGATGATGCAAACCCGATGAACCGAATTCTGCCAGCGTTCGACATGTTAATCCGCTGATAAAATTAATTAATTTTTTTTTTGTTCAGTAACGGTAAATTCTAGAACGTTCTGAAACAAACGTGCGTGTATATACTCCACCTTCTTTTATCTTTTGAAATCCCATGGTTTAAAATAAGTTGTTCGATCATTTCCAATCTACTCAAAGCTAGTCTGGGATGAACGCTTCCCGTCAAAGGTCTACTTAAATGCACGGGAATTATGTTTAAACGTCTGAAATGATCAAATTTAATAATTAATTATTTATTTACAAAATTTTTTTTTTTTGTGCGTTACAGGTGTTTAAGCAATATGGCTGATGAAAATTCCTTAAAAGAACTACATTGAATGCCTCAAAGATAATATACACGTGTATATTATTCACACGTGTACGACACGCACGTGTAGGTAAGTAAAAATTAAATATCTAAAAAAAAAATTTTTTTTTTTCTGGAACATTTTTCACCTGACTTCTTCGCATTCTGCCATACTGAGCAACGTGTGTGCGGCCATATTGTGAATTCTAGGAGTGACATCTCCCGATTTGACGAGTAATTCCGGTAATAGTTTTTCCACGCTCCTACCTATTTCCGACGGTGATATCCTATTCGAACAAAAACAATTTTCAGGTATTAAACATTTGGTATTTATCATCATTATTCGAATTTCAATATCTATTTGTTGTACGACAGGTACGAATAATGGGGGGGGGGGGTTGGTACGAATATCAGGTTGTACCTTTGAGGTACGAATTCGCTGAAAAATAATCGAATCGTTTCCGCTGCCAAACTGTATATTGAATAAACTTTATCTCTTAGCGTTCTGTGCAAGAGGAACACGGTCGCTCTTGCGATTCGATTATGGAATCCCAAAGTTTTGTCGTCGCGGTTTTCACCCCGTGTCGAATTGATAATTTTTCGCAATTCCTTTTGTAACAATTTTAAACCTTCTTCTTTTTCCGTGAAATTTTTCGAATAAAATTTTTCTATCTGAATTGAATCAAAGAAAATACTTTTAGGGGAAAAGACAAGTGTGGTATTTATTTATTTATACATCGTTTGGAAAAAAAAAATTCGTACCATTTCGATTCCGAATACGGAAATGGGTAAAGCAGCTTGTTTTTTTTCTCTTTCGTTCAGCGTGGTTTTTACATATTGATCAATTGCCAACTGACATTCTCTTACGACTTCGTTTCCGTGGTAACTGGAAAAAAAAAAAAAAAAAAAGAAATTTTCCCCATTTTTCGTTTGCATTACAAGGTTCGACGTTTTCCAATGAGTACCTCTCGTTATACCTTTTCAAAGCGGGCAACATTCGATCTTCGTACGCTTCAAAACTTGTTTTCTCATTTGTCGCACCCAAAGATTTACTTCGGTTTTTGGTTTGTTCAAACGTTTTCGTTCTGCTTCTTCCCACGTAATTATTATTATCCGACATGGTTTTCGACTTTTCCGGCTCCTTATTTAAGAAAGGTTTAAAAGTTATAAAGTTGGCATATCTTGTCGATTCTTCTTCTTTTTCTTCTTCTCTTTTGATTCCCTTGTCGAAATTTTTCGCAGTTTTTCCCCCTCGAATCACATTCGAATCATCCGTGAGATTTTTAGAATTTATACCCGTGGAAAAGAGTACCGAGAGATTTTCTTCTTCTTTTTCTTCTTCTTCTTCTTCTTCTACATCCGCATCATCCGAAGATGAATCATCGTATGAAAAATTTTCAACCGTTTCCGATTGTCGAAATGCCGATGGTTGATTTCTAATATTTTTTTTAAAATAATTCGATCGAAATATTTTTCTTTGACGTAATTCCGCCATGTTGTGATGGATCGTGGGATTGGATATGGACGTTGGTAAAGAATGATGACCGTTTTCGAGCGAACCATCATTTCCTTGTTTCACGTTGTCGGGAAACGAATTTTGACTTTTCGAATAAACTAAATTTTTATTTAAAATGCATTCGTCATCACGCGATGAATTTTTTTTACTCGTCAACGAGGTCTTGTCGTTGAATTTGGCGTTGTCCAAACCTGGGAATCCCCGGGACGGTTTAAAAAATTTATCATCGTTATTGATATTGTAACTCTTTTGCGTTGTAAAAGCTCGATTGGACGTTTCTTCTTGATTCTAAATTTAAAAAAAAAAAAAAAGATTTTTAAAGAATTGAAAAATTCGATTTCAGGTTGTGCGGTCATGTCGAGGAAACAAAAGATTTTAGTTTGCGGCGACGTCGAGGGAAATTTCAAAACACTTTTTTCCCGGGTCAACGCCATAAATAAAAAAAATGGACCGTTCGATTTTCTTTTTTGCGTCGGTGATTTTTTTTCCGAGTCTTCAAACGAATTGGAACCTTACAAAAAAGGTTCTCTCACCGTGTCCGTGCCCACGTACATACTCGGACCTAATTCGGTAACGACGAATCAAAATGTGTTTTACGATAGTTTCGAATTATCGGGTACCGAGATATGTCCGAATGTGAATTATCTCGGAAAATATGGGATTTTTTCCAGTTCGGGTCTTAGGATCGCTTACATGAGCGGAATCGAACATTGTGACCAACATAACAAATTTACATTTACGGAAAGCGATGCGAAAGCGCTTCGAGAATCGGCCTTGCGTAATAAAGCCGGTTTAGAATTTTCCGGAGTTGACATATTGCTGACTTCGGAATGGCCCAAAGACGTTGAAAAACTAGATAAAAATTTTAAATATGAGGATCAAAGTGAAATAAAAGGATCCGCGATATTGTCCGAATTGGCGTACCATCTCAAACCCAGGTATCATTTTTGCGGGTTGAAAAATATCTACTACGAAAGACCGCCGTACAGAAATGATTCGGATAATTTGGAGTTGAATTCTCATTCGACGCGGTTCATAGCTTTGGCAAAGGTTGGAAATTCCGATAAGAAGAAGTGGTTGTACGCAGCTAACGTGTCGCCTCTCGTGGATTTGAAAAAAAGCGATTTATGGCAGAGCACCACCGACGAAACGCCGTGTCCCTACACGGACATTGTAAAAAAAAAAAACAAGAACAAAACCACACAGTATTTTTACGATATGGATTCCGGCGGATACGATGATGGACCCAGGAAACGTAGAAAAAATAACGGTCACTCGAATGCGGATAAAAGGAAAACGTTTGACGATCCCGAAACTTGTTGGTTTTGTTTGGCAAGTAATTCCGTCGAAAAACATTTGGTCATTAGCATTGCGGATGAAGTGTATTTGGCATTGGCCAAAGGAGGTTTGACGCCTTTACACTGTCTCATCGTTCCCGTTAAACATCAACGGTCTTTGGCAGAACTATCGAAATCCGCGATGATGGAATTGAAAAAGTACAAAACGGCCGTGAGGAAATTTTTCGAAACGAAAAATCAAGTCCCGGTCATATTCGAAAGAAATTACAAGACTAGTCATTTACAATTGCAAATAGTACCCGTTCCGAATTCATTGACTCGCGACCTGAAAGAAATTTTTTTAAATTTTTCCCAAGATTCGGGTATAAAACTATCGGAGTTGCCGAGAAAAGCCAAATTGAAAGATTTCACGCAACCTGGTGCGCCGTATTTCTACGTGGAATTACCCACGAAAGAAAAATTAATTTGCACGTGCGAGAAAAATTTTCCAATACAATTCGGGAGAGAAGTTTTAGCATCTCGCGCCGTTCTAAATCTGTCGGATAAAATCAATTGGAGGGATTGTATTAAAAGCAAAGAAGAAGAAAATGAAATGGCAACGAATTTTCGAAAACAATTTGAAAGTTTCGATGAGTTTGCATAAGGAAAAATTTGGGGGGTCGATACTCGTAATGGTACTCACGTTTTGTAAATTTAAAATTTCTTCAATGTGCATATCATTATAAACTTTACGTCTAAAATTATCGATTTGAATTTTTTTATATTTTGCCTTGTCGTAATCTTCCAAAAGTATTGCTTGTTTTTTTTCCTGTTCATAAAGACCGATAATTTCTCCAGCAGCTCTCAGATTTTCCAAAGCTGCTTTTAACGTATTAGCATATTCGAAATTTTCCTCTAAAATATATATCATTACAATGCGTGTAAAAAAATATAAAAAAAAAATTTTGTATGATGAAAATGAAAGAAAGAATTTACCGAAAATGGCTTGTAGCTTTTTATATTCGATTAATTTAATTATTTTAACCGTTTCCTCGTCGACATACATTTCAAATGCCAAATCATCATAAGGTGATGTGTAATTTGATTTGCATTTTGTTTTTCCTAAAACATGTATGATATTATAATTTATATGTTTAAATAAAAAAATGTTAAAAACTTACCTGAATATATAGGAGAAAACCAAACATTATTATTTAATTCATTTTCTCCAGTTTTAATATTAACTTCATTGCCCAAAATATTAATTCCCATCAGTCCCACCTTATTAAAAAAAAAAAAAAAAAAATTAGGAGAAAACTATTTTATTTAAAACTGAAAATACTTTTGATTTGTGTTTTTTTTTTTTTTTTAATTATAAAAATTAGTTCTTACCTGATTGAATATATTTTTAACATTAACATGATTTTCATATATTTTTAATTTAATGTATTTAGCTTTTTTCGATGGAATTGTTATCGATTTTAATTCTCTCGAACGATATTCAGCAGCTTTGTTATCCGAGAATGTTATGTAGCCCAGGTATTCGAATAAATCGAGAGAATTTTCAGTTGGTACTTCATATTCCGACTTGCTACTTATACAAATTTCAATTTTTTGAGCTGTAATTAAATAAATGTAAATGTTTAAATATTATGTTCTTTCATCAAAATATCTTCATTCACAAATAACTTTTTAACTTTTTAGCACTTAAAAGTAGATATCTTATACTTATTGAGTACTTTAAGGAAAATTAATATCTTATACTTATTGAGTTTTATGAAAATAACTAAGTTAACCATTACGTATTAAATATTGATGAGATAAAATTTGTATTTGATGTAAAATAGCCAATATTTCAAGTTTAAGTATAATTTCTTGTGGAAATGTACAGTTGATTGATGATCTCCAACCCCGAACCGTTGGTCCATGATAATTGAGCTCATTAACTCTATATTTTTTATCTTCTCCTGCATATAAAACAAATTCAATTTATATTATAAATACCTTTGGGAATAAATTAACGCGTCTGAGTTATAATAAAATTACCCAATAACTTTAAATAAATACTAATTCGTTTTTAGATGACGGTTTCAATTTCAGGATTCGACGTGAAAGTAATTAGATAATAATAATAATTAAATTTAATAGTGTCAGGTGCCAATTTTCTCTCTCTCTCTCTCTTTGTATAATGACACGACAAAACCCGGGAAAATGGTTATTAGGCTTACTTACCCGAACAAAAAATGACTTGAAATCCAATTTTAACTGGCATTGTGTAAAATTTTTGTGTTTTGTTAAAACATATTCAATATTTTCACTTATAATTATGTTTTAAAAACGTGGATTACGTTTATATTTTGGTTAAAATACGATAATTTTATTTGACGAATGTCATTTTGAGAAGGTAAGATGAAAATTATTTTTTTTGTCCCCAGTTAAAAATAATTTACCTAAAAATTTATAATAAAATACTATTAAAGTAAGATTTTTTTGTTACAATTAGTCATATCACTTACCTAAAATATTCGACAGTATTTTTTATTTTATATTTCACGCCCATTTTTAAATTAATCTTATGCGAGAGTATATTTATTTTATAATGTATAAACCGACACCATTGAAAACTTTATTCGACATCCATTTTTGTTCTTTTAATTTTAAATACATTATTTTAAATAAAAAAAATCAAATACTTATATTTGTAAATATTTACTATTATATTAATGCAGGTAATCGATACGAAGCGGCGAAAACATCAAAAAAAAAAAAAAAAAATCTGGAAGGGAAGATGATTGTTCAGAAGGGAAGATCATGCGCGGTCCAGGTGATGAAATTGATTTCATGGTAAGTAAATAAAACTTGCACTTTTTTTCTTTTAAATTTCTTCTTCTTCTTTTTTTTTTTTTTTGGGAAGGAAATAATTTAAAACGCTTATACCTCCATTTTATTTAAAAAATTATATTTTATTTCACAAATGTTTTTAATAACAATGCCAAAAAAACGTTTGAATCTGGACTATTTACATTTCTGGAAAATTCATTCATAAACATGTACAATTTAGGTTTTTTCTTTTTTTTACATAATTAAAACCATAGATCGCCATCATCTTCTTGTGGTTGTTCCTCCATTTTGTTTCCATTTTGATTTTCTTCATCTGATTCGCTTACTTCTAAATCCGCATTGATTTTACCCATTTGAGATTTTTCATTCTAAAATTAAATAACAACAACGACAACGCATTAAAAACAATTTGTAATGTTTTATATGGGGGGGGGAAAAACCGTTGCGAATGTATTTCTTACGTCATCATCAAACGTATCATCCAATTGTTTATCTGAATTTCGCGATCCCTCATTTTCCGTCTTTCTCGGTAATCCGGCAAGTAGAAAATCCGAAGGATCGTAATTAGGATCCACATCCATGCTTTCTTCTAAAAAGAAAATTTTCGTATATTATCATTATTATTTTTTACAAAAAAAAAATATCCAAATCAGGTTCTCTTTTGTGAGTTGAATACCTTTAATATCCGTCACTTGTCCTTGGGATCCGTAAAAACTATCGTTACCGAGTTCCATCATTGCAATGGCCGCTTGCTGACTGTCATCTTGAGAAATATCCTGTCCTTTCCATTTGCCCTCTCCGTCATCCCCAATATCTTCGAATTCTTCTTCGCTCGAAAATTGTAAATCTTCTTCTAGGACGTGAGTTTTATCCCGTCTCTGTAAAAAAAACAAAAACAAAAAATTTTCATCAAGCATTTTTCCTCTCTCTCATTGTTTGTAAAAATAAATTATTATTATTATTATTATTATTGAATTTTTAACACGTGCCTGAATTTCGCTCGAAACCCCTTCAACGTCTACAAAATCCCCTTCGTTCAACATGTGCAGGGGCGAATTGTTACCACTCCCACCAAATTCTTGATCTTCCCCTGCCATCCACGTTCCGATGGAATCCGTTTCCGCTTGTTCCAGAGCTCGCTCTTGCACCAAACTGATATTCTTTTCGAGTTGCGTCAAATGATCGTCGTATTCTTCTAAAGTCGCTCTAACAATTACATTCTCTTTAAATAACATTCACTTAGTAATGATTAAACAAAATTTTAAAATTTCTCTTACTTGCAAACTTTGACCAGTGCTTCCGCTTTGAGCGTGTAGGGAGACTCTTTTCCATTGTACAAAATGCAATTTTCCAAAATCAATTCGACGTCGCTCAAAAATTCTCTCCTGTTGTGATATTTATGCGAGGAAACTTTTTTGGCAATCGTTCCAAGATCCATCGGGTATTTGATTATGTTGTAATAATCCTAAACAAAAAATACAATGTTAACACATATCGACTTCTAGAAAATTCTCGACTTCGAAATCAAATTACCTTAACGTTTTTCTTATTGACGGGTTTCAAAAACGGCCATGATTCTTGCATCGTTTTCAATTTATTATTAACGACGTTGTCCAATATGAAAGTGAGAGCGACTTGATCGTTGTCGTCCAACAGCGGATTGATCGCTTTTTCCAATCTCATCAATTTATCTTCTTTTTCGTCCAATCTATCGACGCATAAGCTAAGCATTCTCCTGTAGGGGGAGGGAGGGGGGGGGCAAAAATTAAACAGGCTTGTAAGTAAGATCGTTAAGGGGGGATGGGGGGGGGAAATAAATTTTTGACTTTTTCTCACCTTGCAGCAACGGTCAAAGCACTTTTAGCTCCGTTGTACAAAGTCGAATTTTCCACAATTTGATTAACGTCGGCTAAAAACTCTTCGCGACTTTGATATTTTTTTTGCCTTAAATTCTCTCTGATCGTTTGAAGGTCCATGGGCCTTTGTACAATTTTATAATAATCAGGTACGACCTGAAATTTTCAGGTTGGTTAATTTTTATAAAATGGGAATTTTTTATTTAGGAAAAAAAAAAAAAAAAAAAAAAAATTTAGGGATTTACTTTAGCGTTGACCGGGAATAAAAATGGTTGAACGTCTTGAAGCCCTCTCATTTCGTTCAATATCGATTCTAAAATTGTCGAGAGAACGACAACAGGATCCGTTCGTCTTCGGTTGGCTGGTCTTTGCTGTCGTTTCAGATAATCGCAATGAGATTCGTTGGCAGTTTTCCTCCTTTTCCTAGAGTGCATGGCTTCGCGAGGAACGCGAAGTAATAAAGTTTTCCTTTTGATTTCTTCCGCGTGCTGTCGACACACATATATACAATTTTCAAATTTTCTTTTTAAAAAAATAGAAAGAGAGAGAGAGAGAGAGAGAGAGAGTACCAACCTTCAAAAGTTTTCCGGATAATTTAACTTTCGTTCCATCGACATTCACCAAATCTTCATCATCTTCCGCATTCAAAAGTTGTTTTTCTATTTCTTCTTGTTCTTCCGTCATGGCAACGTTCAAACACGGGGATGGCATTAAACTGGAATAATTAGGACACGCTTTGTTCGTTCGCATATGTCCAACCTGAAATTCGTTTTTTTTTTATTAAAAAAATTCTTTAAGTAAAATTTCTTAATTGTGCTCGCTCCCGGTACTCACGTTCCCGCAGGATCCGCATTTCATTTTACTATCGATTTTCATTTTCATTTTCCTTCCTCTTTTCTCTATTTTACCATCTTTGAGCTCTTTGATTTTTTGCTTCTTATGATGATGATGATGTTTGGGTTGAAGTTTGTGCGTGTTGAGAGCGTTTTGTATGAGAGGATTCAATGTGGGACCCGTTCCTGGAGGAGTCGGATTAAGGGAACCGGGATTAACCAATTGTCGATTGCTCAAATTAAACATTTGCGGTCTTCCCGTTCCGTATAATCTTTCTCTTTCCTTTAAGAAAGCAAAAAATTTTTTTTTTAAAAAAACGAATACGCTAATCAAATAAACCAGAAAACAAAAACTCACCTGATTTCTTTTTATTCGTCTCAACTGCTCTTGAATTCTCCTCTTTTCCCTTTTCATTTCTTCCTTTTGTGCTTCGTCCAAAGTCGCAAATTGCTTAATGAAAGCTTCGTCTTTCGTCGTGCGAATTTTCAAATAAGCATCCATGACCATGGGCTTACGAACGATTTCGACTCTTGTGAATTCTTTACCCTCGGAATCCTTAAACGTTCGGTAAATTTTGAGTACTCGTCCTGTCGATACAAGCCGCCGTTATTTAAAAAAAAAAAAAAATGCTTTAATATTATAAATGGGTAGGGGAGGGGAGTGGGAGGGAAACATCACCTGGCTGAGCCGAATAATTTCCATCTTGATTCTCATCATCTTTTTTCTCCTTTTTGGCTTTCCTTTGTTCCTCCGTTCCTTCACCCATAAATATTTTCCTCAATTCTTGCCTTTCTTGTTCCTCACGCTCTCTGCTCAATTGAGAACTCGTCTTTTTATTCGCCAACATGTTTTCAAGATTTTTACCCATTTCTTCAATGTCGGAACTGTCTTCGTCCAGAGAACTTTCAGCTTCGTCCGTCGACAAAACCTCGCTGGAAACTAAAACTCGATTTTGTAGTTCGAAAATTCTTTGACATTCTTCTTTATACCTGAAATAAGTTTTTTATTATTATTATTATTATTATTATTATTATTATTTATTTATTTTTAAAGTTAAAAAAAAATCTTTTTAAAATGAATGATACCGTTCTTGATGTTCGGCAATTGAAAATCGATTCCCTCTTGAAAATTTCGTCATTCCTTCTTCTCCAGCTTTTGCTTTTTCCGTAGATAACGTTCGTACGACGTCAATAACTTCCCACCGGGATAATTTTTTAATCTGACATTTTCCATAAAAATTAATGTTTTATAATTGGTGATGATAAGTTTTAAGTTAAGATTTCTTTCTTCACATACCTCCTCCTCGGGAACTCCAAACTTTCTCAAAAGCGCTTTTGCATTATTCAACGATAATCTTCTCAAATCAGCATCCGTACCGGTGACTATTCTTTTCGGTTGCGCTTCTTGTTCTTCTTTACTCTGAGTCGGTTTATTGGGAACTCGAACGTATGAAAAACCTTCTCCGCAACCGGTAGGATCGGCTGGTCCGGTGAGTTGCAGCAAACATTTTCCCTTATTGGCTTGAATGTACGCCCTTTAAAAACCAAATTATCACCTTCTACCTCCTATCACCTCTTCCTACCTGATATCAGGCACTTATACTTGAAGAAAACCTAATAATCGTATTACCTTGTTGTATTCCAAGGAGCCACTTTTACTTCGTCGTCCATTTTCAATTGCATTTCCTCATCGTCGTCATCTTGTGGAGCAAAAATAAATTTTTCACCGTAACCAGCATCCTAAAGGAAAATTATTTTCGATTATACCGGTAAAAATCTGAATTTTTTCTTTTTTTTTTTTCGAGACATTTTAAGGGGGGGGGGGGGGAAAAAATCGAAAACATTTAATTACTTTAAGCCTTTGTTCGGCGGCGATCATGCTGAAATAAGCACAACATTGTTCAGGCGAAACCATTGCTCGTATTTCTTCTTCGGTCGGCAAACGAAAATCAGGTTTTATAACCCACCAATTGCTATCGGTACCTTAAAGATAAGAGAATTCGAAATTTTTAAATAATTTACAAATTAATAAAATAAAATGCTCTCTCTCTCTCTCTTACCTGTTCTTTTAAAATCTGCACACAATTTTAAACGTTTTCTAATACTACTCTCCGAATGAGTTGGAAAAGCCTTTTTAATATCATCCATTCTTATCCTTCTCGGCGAATCTTTGCTTTTCCAAAAAAGCCGATAAATAAATACCTAAAAAAAAAAAAAAAAAAAAAAAAAAAAGGTATCAGGTTTTACTCAAATTTTACTTTTAAATTTGTTGTTATTTTTTAAATATATTCGTACCTGTAAAAAATCTCGAACGAAATTATTCGCCCTTTTCGAATTCGGTCCTGGTACTTCGTATAAAGGACATTCTTGACCGGCAACGAACAAGGCATTGATTTCCCGAATCCAATATTGTCGTCTAAAATTAAAAAAATATTCGCATTTTTTAAAGGAGTCATTTTTCATTCGTTAAAAATACACCGTTTATGCTAAATTGTACCTGGTTCGAATCACGAGGAAATCGGTATCTTGTAATTTGTGTTCGAATAAAGGAGCACGATACATGTTATTTTCAACGGTTTGAATGGATGCACCAGGAGCCATAACTCCGAGGAATGGCGATGTGTGGGCATAAGCAGTTTCGCCATATTTATACTCGGGCGGTCCTTGATCCTTATTGGCTTTTCTCTTGTAATAGTTTTTTATTTTAGAACACATTCCAACCTGTTAAAATTAAAATGAAAAAATTATTGATACAATTTCTTTTTGTTTTCCTATCGTTGATTTGATGGATTAAATCTTGATTGTTTTTAATTGTTTTACGGCTAATGATAAAAATATATATATATTTATAAACCTGATTGATTAAAGGTGGATGTTCTTCACAAAATTCTATTAGTATTATATCGCCATCTTTCCCAGACAAATCTTCCGGTGTCCGCATAAAAAATATGTCTCCTCCACCGGCAGCTGCCCTTTCTTGATCTCTTTGCTACAATCATCATAAACTTAATTAGTTAATTGGTAACCATGATAGTAAACATCTTGAGGAAACGACAACCTACTTTGGCCTTTTTCTTAATGTGTTTTAACAAAGGGTAAACTTGATGTGGTCCGGGTTGAGATAGAGCACCGTGAGAAAACCTTTTTAAAGGTGGCCTATGGAAATTTCTTAGCCTCATGGGACCCATATGAGTTTGAACGAATGGAACTCTTAATTCGACAACCGGTGTTGAATGCTGCAAAAGATTTCCTCCAACTTTCAAACGTATCGACGATTCGGAAGTCTTTGGCATGTAATAACTGAAAAAAAAAAAAAAAAAAAAAAAAAATAGTTTCGATAAAGTTTATACTATCGAGAATATAACTAATAAATTATTCCACTACCAACCTATCGTTAGAAATATTAAATGGATCTCGGTTGGGTGATTTAGGAGGAGGAGGAGGTGAATCTTGTTCCATAACATTTATAACGCCAGCTTTACCAAGAAGAATTTTCGATTTCTTCACGTGAGGATGAGGTATTTTAACCTATAAAAGAAATTTTTACAATATATCTTTTCTCTGAATAAAGTAAATTTTGATGTTTGTTAAAATTAAATTTACTTTAACGGGAGTACGTGAATCCATTCTTTGTTTTGCTGGATCAACGTCATTTGGTATTCCCAAAATAATGTTTTCATCGTTTGGATCAAGTGTTAAAATTTTTGGTTTCGGAATGGTATCCATATTTTCAGCATCCCAAATAACTTCGTCTTCCCATCTCCCGTAAACGAGTTCTTCGTTCTCAACAGGGAAAATAGAATACCACGTGTCGTCTGTATTATCAGCGTTTCCTTGGGATTGAGTTTGACTTCTATTCAAAAGTCTACGCAAGCATAATTTAGTATTATTTTTTTCAATTATTTTTTCAGATGGTTGTAACTTGTAAAAAAAAACTTCACTCACACTGGTGTTTTAGACGTCTGTTTATTTATTGAAGTAGTTGACTGAGTACCGGAAGGAGCCGTGGCTCTAATACCACTAGGAGGAATGTTGGTAATTCCTTTCCCCGGTTGGCTAAACGCTTGTGCAGTTCTATTACTACTACTTGGAACCCATCCCGCTGCATTAGTTTTACAATTTAACTTTTGCATCACCTGAAAACATTATTTTACAATATTTAATAAGAACAACAGTAGTTTTTTTATCAAAAAAAAATTTTTTTTTTTTACTACAAACTTTATGTTTTATGTCTTCCCCATTCCATACGACATCATCTTCCCAATGTAATTGTGATACTAATAAAAATGCATCATCAGGAAATACTTCTTTGACAACTTCTTCGTAGTTGTTTTCTGCTGACTTAATTCGATGGTAAAAAAAAAATTTATTACTTTCTGATATTCGATTTAAAATTTTTCCAAAATAAAAAACCAACAATGAATAATATAAACCTTGTCTTTTAATTTAAAACCATAGTTAAAACCTTCTCCTGTTTCATTAACTTGTAACATATCATACCATACTTGAGCTGGACCGAATCTCCAATCAGCCACTCTTGGTCCTGCATCATTTACATCCTTTTGTTCCGTTTTTGCTGATACTGATTTATCCTCTACCTGACTTAATAGCTTGTCCTAAGAAAAAAAAATGTATTGAAATAAGTAATTTAAACGCTTTGAGAAACTGTTAGTATATGAAAAAATATTAAAAAAATTATTTAAAAACCTCATTATCAGACAGGCACATTTCTTTAGTAGGTTCAGGAGCAAAATTTAAAAACCATCCTCTTGGGACCTCTTTTATATTTTCTTGGTCAGAACCAGAATCAGATGTTCTTTCCTGCAATTTTTTTCTTTTTCTTCTTTTTCTCACACTTCTCCATATTTGAGGTAAACTGCTGGGTTTCCCTGGTCCGAATAATCTTGAAAATCTAAGAACCTATCAATGTTAAAAGAAACTTTAACAAACAAAATAACTTTAAATTATTAAAATTTAACTTTATTTTTAACTGTAAATATCTGTTAATTTTAAGTATTAAAATAATATCTATTAAAAAAAATAACATTTAATTTTGCAAGTACCTTATCATATCGAAAATCTGGAAAGAGATCAGTAACATCAACATTGACATATTTTGAAGGCAACATAGCAGCCAAAGGTGTATCCATTCTTCTACGAACTTTTGGCTCGGTTTTAATTTCTTTTTCTTCCTTGGGTTCAGGAGGTGGAGGCATAAGACTGGCAGCCACTTTTTCTAATAAAAATAATATTTAAAATGTTTAAATTAAAATTTAGAAAAAACAGTTTCCATGTTTTATTTTTTTAATTTTAATGTTCTCGAATCACTAACCAACTTCTTCATCATCAGCATCATAATCTGTATTATCTTCAGCTTCTTTTTGAACATCTGATTCTGATTTTACATCACTTTGGCAATCTTCTGCTAGTTCATCAATGTCTCCATAATCTATAGCTGTAGGAGCTTTTGAACATAGAGATTCTAAAACAAAAGCCATATTTTATTGAATTATGCTTATTATTAAGTTTATTATTAATAATTTTAATGTATAAAAATATTATTACCTGAACTGTCATCACCAGTTAAGCTCTTGATTTGAGAATCAGCAAATTCATCTGAATCACTTTCACTTAATGAAGACTTTCTATTACCGTTATTTTCAATAATAATTTTTTCATCACCTATAATTTCATCGACCAAAGAGTCAAAACCCAGCCTGGTAAGTGCATTCAAATATTTTTTTGCCTCATTATCAAACAGATCAGTATCTAACTGTCCAGATTCATCTATGTTGCCAAATAGAAATCCAGCCAAGGAAAGAGGACTTGATATGTTGTTGTCCATATTTTTAGTTTTAGATAAGTTTTGACTAAAATAAATTCAAAGCTTTCCGTAGTTTTGTAAAAACTTCGTAAAAATTATGCATTTTAAGCATTTTAACTGTAAAGTGTTTGCGGCTTAAATAATAATAATAATAATAAGGAGTCGAGTCTAATATAGAAGGCAGTGTAATTTGAAAGGATCACAGACCGAGAAATACAGTTTAAGTTCAAAAAACTTCAAAAGTCTTATAAATTTATTTTTGACAATAAATTGATCTTTAGTAATAATTGTTGTAAAATATGATTTTAATTATTTTTAAAGAAAGAATAGGTACATTTTTCTTCATTTTTAGTTAGTTGTAAAACCATCTGAAAAGTTGCAACTTTTCTGGAATTTTCTTATAATACAAAAGAGATTCAAATAGCAAAGTTCTGTAGTAGGGATTCCATATTTTAAAATGAAATTTTAAGCGTTATTTACATGTAAATAATGGATAGCTGTCTGACAAATCATCAATTACTACCTGACAATTACGTCGTACAGCCAGTTGAAAGCATACCAGTTTCTTTAATTGATTACGACAAAATTGATATGATAATTCATTCTGACCATCTCACTAATGACACACCCGGTAAGATCAAAACAGAATGACATTGAAGTATATTAAATAAAATTTAATTTAAAACTTAATTTTTAGTGATTTTGACCGATTTGAATTCAAATGTTAAATCCAAAACGCTGCATCCTTTGGAATTAGAAATTCAAAGGGATTTTGAATTAAGGCAACGACAGGCCGTGTCAAAGGATTTTACACCCACCATTGAAAACTCGACAGACCAGTTATCTCAAAAATGTAAAAGAATCTCTGCTTCAAATTCATTTTTTGATGGAGTAATGCAATTAAATTCTATTCCCAATGGGAAAAATTCAGTTTTTAACATTAATACCCCTAAAACTCCTGAAAATGTTATTTGTCAAATATCTCCTTCCGGTCAGCAAATGACTTTAGAAAAAAAACAATACATAATTCTTTCCGACAATTCATCAGTATTTAATATTACATCTAAAGATGAGGAATTTGTTGATAAAAGTGTAAATAATGAAATTATAAAATATGGCAATTCTGAAGAAAAATCCAATTTAGAACCTGCGCCTGTCATAATTCATAACAGCATCATTTCAAGTAATAATAACAACAGGAATAATGGAAAAATTATCGAATCAGATTCTGAAAATGATGATGAAGATATTGAACCTGTAAATGATTATGAACCTGATCCTGACACACACACAGTGTTGGTATCGTCAGAACATTTAGAGAAACCAAATAAGTGTTATGTATGTTTTAGAAGTTTTAGACAAAAAAAAAATATGTATGCTCACATTAGAAAAATTCATAGCACACAACCTAAAATTGAAGGAGGTATTTTATGTCCATTGTGTAAAATGCATGCTTTAAGGCAGGAACATTTAAGAAATCATTTAGAATCACTTCATAAAATATCAATTGAAAAAGAAGAAAAATTATTCAACACAATGGAAGGTATGTCGATAAACAATTTTTTAATGCGAACCTTTTTCCTTACCATTTTTTAATTTCCTATTTTTGTAGAGTTTTTCATGTGGAAAGAATTTATGGAGAAAGAAACATTTTCATTATTTGTTAATAAAAGTTCATCTAAACTTTTAGCTAATAATCAACAGAAAACATATTATAAATGTCATCGATCGGGAAATTATGTTACATTAAAAAAAGAAAATAGTAAAAAAAAATTAAAAACATTAGTAAGTTTAAATTTTATCAATTTGCAACATGTCGCAGAAAAATATTTTTAAAAAGTTGTTTTAATTATTATTATTATTATTAGGGATCTAATAAAATAGGAGCTACTTGTCCAGCGGCCATGGAAGTTACTGAAAATGTAAATGGAATTAATGTAACGTTTTGGAAAACTCACGTTGGACACGATAATGATATTTCTCACGTGTTGTTTCTATCGAAAGATAAAAAAGACAAAATTTCACGTCGGTTTACATTTAATTGATGTAATTTTTATTCTTTGAACCATTAATTAATCTTAAAATTTAATTATTGCAGCTTCTGCAATAACTGAACAATTATCAACGGGTATTATACTGAACAAAACGAATGACAATAATAATAAAAAAATTAATAACAATAGAAAAAATGACGTCCAGAAAAATAGTCCAGAAATATTTTTTAACAGGAAAAAAAATTTACAAGGACGAAAACCTGTAAAAGAAAAAATGTTGAGAAGAGCATCGCAAAGTTTAGTCATAGAAAAAGCTGGTTTACTATTAAAGTATGCATTTTTTTTTTTTCTAGAAAAAATGGAAGTTTTTTAATGAAAAATTGAAAAAAAAAAAAAAAAAAATTTGTTTTTCATTTTAGTCTTTTAGAAACGACGGATGTCAGACCGGAATTTCGTCCGAAAATTTGTCTCATGATAGATAATTTAATATCGACCGTTAAAAGACGAACGGGAAAAGGTTGTTCGAAAAGGGAAAATATCGTTAAAAAATGTCAGATGTAAAATCTCCATTAAATTTAAAGCCCCTTTCAATTTAAGAACTGATCTCCATTATTATTATTATTATTATTTAAAACGGGTGTTATTATAAAATATTTATAAAAGTAAATAAAATGAATATAAATTATTTTGTACCTGATTCATTACTTACTCTTGTTATTGTTAAATCCGTTAAAAAATAATTTTCACGGGATTTTTATTTTATTTTCAAGGATAAAATTAACCGTGAGAAAAATAAATTAATTTCAATATATATATATATAATTTAAATAATTTATATTAATTATACATATAAATTTATTTTACCGTAGTATTAAATATCATTTATCGATATGGGCAAACAATTTAAATTTAAATTCGAGGACAAAATTTGAAAAATTTTTGATGAAAGCAAAAAAAAAAAATAATTTAAATTTCTAATTTAATATTTTTATTTACAAAACACATATTATATATATATATATATATATATATATATATATATATATATATATATAAATATATTGTTTATTAACAGTATGGGGGTGGAGGGAGGGGGGTCGTTTATTATTATTATTATTAGCAATTTATTGAAAAAAAAAAGAGATATATAAATAGTTAAATAATAAAATTAAATATTTTGTCACGATTTTTTTTTTTTAAAAAAAAAATCATCGTCGGCCATTTTGTTTTTGTTTAATTGATAATTTCCATTAAATATTTTTTTTTTAATTATACATATATATATATATATATATATTTATTAATAATAAAACAATACCTGGGTGGTGGGATGATTGATTGATTGATTGATTGATTTGCATTTATTCATTCTACTTCTTTTTTAAAAAAAAAAGTGATGTTACACAATAATTAAATTTTTTTTTTTTTTTTTATTACTTTATATAATTATTATAAACCAAGCAATTTGCATTTTTATAATTAAATTACTTTTTTCAATCGCATTCGTATAGACAAATTTATACTTATATATATATATATAAAGTTTTAATAAAAATAATTATTATGACATTGGTGAAATGAAATGGGAAAAAAAAAAAAAAAAAACAAATTTTCCACCATTTTTTTTCTTTTTCTTTCTCCAGAACCGATTAATTAATATAACATAGTAGTAGTAGTAGTAGTAATAGATTTATTATGCGATTTTTTTTTTTTTTTTTTATTCATTTGTTGAAATATTTGAAAGCATTTGGAAATCTTGTTGGTGTAAAATCTGGATCTTTTTGCAGGTCGCCACCGACGACGACTCGTTCTTGTTCCTTGTAAGCTTCTTGAAGAACGTCATCTTTCCCTGCTTCTGCGATTGCTTTTTCGGCAACGTTTGAACTCACTCCGGCTGCAGTTATAGCATTGCGTACGCCATCTTAAACAATAACACGAATCTCATTAAACATTTCAATCAAATTAAAATAATAATCTCATTATTCCCATTTTCCCGTACCGGATATAACTTGAGAAATGTTTCCCTGAGTCTTGGATGATGCTATCAATTTACGACGTTTAGGAGGTAAACTAGATAAATACGCATCGCTGAAAGGTTTCTGTGAGCTTTGGCGACGCTGTCTTTGAGTGTCTCTAGCTATTATAGGAACCCATTCCTGAAAAGAATACTTTGTCGATATCGAAAGGTTTAAACCTATTACGTCATTTTATAAATATTTCTTTCTTTTACCGAGGGTAAGGCATTATGCCACGATTCTGAACCTATTAATACATCCGGCAAACCATCTCCATCTATATCGACCAGAGATTCTGCAATCGGTTCGTCTACTTTCTCCGGTGACGGCACGTTCTCCGGTTGAATCCAAACCGTTCGATTCTGTATGGTGTCAGTTTCCATCGGCTGAAATAAATAAATATATATATATATATATATATATAGATTTTTAAATAAAATTAGTATTATTATTTATAAAAATAATATTTATATTCATAAGGAAAAGAAAAATTTACTTCAGAATTATTTTCAGATGATTCCCGTTTTTCTATTGTTGAATTTGGAATGCGATAAACCAAATAACGTTGAATGTCTTCAAAAGGTACATTAAGAGTTGATGTGTAATAACGAAGATTATTCACCGAATTGGTTTCAGTCCATTGTTGTAAATCTTCTGGAACGCCTTGGGTGAGTAGTCGCTGAGAAATAATATAATATATGCATACGAAAATACATCATCTAATAATTTTTAATTTTTCATTTCAGTTCAAGTTCGATGTAAAAATTAATTTTTTTTTCGGTTATTCATATCAAAACTACATACCACGCAACTTTGAACAATGGCGTCAAATCCTTGAACTCCATCTTGACAGCAGTAAATAATAATGGCCAAAAGTTGTCTCACGTAGTTCCTTACCCTTTGCGTCATGGTTTGACCGAAATTAGGAGATTGACTAAGATATGGATCGACAATGAGTCCAACAATTTCGGGTATTTGAGATTGATTAAAATTGTTTATCGTAGCAGCTAAATCCACCGATTCTTTTAGTCTTGCTACTTGCTACAATACAAAAAAAATCACCAAATATAAAAAATACTTAAACTCAAACCTCTTTTTGATTATAACAAAAAAAAAAAAAAAAAAAATTACCATGACATCAATATACGGTCTGAGTTCTGTGTATAAACGTTCACAAGCTCTGGCAATATTTTCAGCTGATGGAGTTTCACCCTGCAATAGACGTTGCAAAACAAAAGTATGCAAAGTCGGATGCAACCGAGTAACAATTGATTCGACCATACTTCTTTGCGCCACCGACAAATCAAGAAGATCAGGCCATGATAAATTTCGAGCCTGAAAAAAAATCAATAAATATTTATTTCGAATAAACACAGAGAGAGAGAGAGAGAGAGAGAGATGAAATACATAAATAAATGAAAAATAAATTAAATGTATTTATATAGTTACCAATGTCATTAGAAAATCACTAACAATAGATTCTCCTTCATTGTAAGAAGTGTGATAGACTGTGGATAAAAACTCGGCTATCGTGGTTCCCGGTGCAAACTGATTAAATATAGAAAATACATCTCTACCGCTGGACACCTACAAAATAATAATAATAATAATAAAAGGTAAAAAAAAAAGATGGAGGAATATCATTACAATACTATGTCCTCGAGAAATTACTCTAAAATAATCAGTTATATTTCTTCTTGTTCCAGGTGATGCAGGTGAAGCAGAGAGCGACCAACCGGTGATATTGTTTGGCAACGGAGTCCAAGTGAAACTACGAGGAGGTTCTTCATTGGTCGATTCCGGCTGTCCCGTTTGAGTATTTTGTCTACGAGGTACGTTTCGAGGACTCGTTCCATTTGCATTTGGCGCGGGGGAACTACCATTTGACGTACCGTTACTTTGCCTAGGTTGTACTCTAGATACATTTACTCTTTGCGGGTTAAGGAATTGTGACATCATTGCCATAAATGAATCTCGCTGTAACCAACGTTGCTTTTAGTAAGTAAAAAAAAAAAAAAAAAAAAAAATGACATTTACGTTAATTTTTTAAGTTTTAGAGACGACGACTTACTTCTGCGATAACCGTAGGACGTTCATTTTCAGCAGCGTTCCTATTTGTAGTTTGAGAATTGGCATTCCTGTTTGAATTCCTGTTTTGTGATCTTATATGATGCGAATTGCAAGGCAGAAAAGGATCGTAAGAATTCAAAGCAACATCTGAAACGGTAAGTAACATTATAAATATAATTTAAAATTAACCGTAAAAAATATTGTTGATATTGTAAAACATAACCCCATAACATACCCGGAATAGCACGTCCAACGTGAACATGTGGTCGAGAGTTGGAAGCGTTTTGTGTTGTTGTATTCGACTCAGTAGAAGCACTACTTTGAGCACGTGAAGGAGCAGATTGGTTTGACATACCACTAGCACTAATACACATTAGGATTATAATTAATTATCGCACTAACAAAAAGTGTAAGAAATTTTTTTTTTTTTTTTTTTTTCATTACTAATTTATTTACCTTGAACTTTGCTGCACGACCCCTTCATACGGAGGTGGATTATCAGTTTGGGGTGAATTTTGATTAATACGATTCATTAACTGATTTTGAATTTGACCAGCGACAGCCTGTACCGAATGTAATAATTCCATAGGCGAACGACCAGTTCCTAGGAAAAAAAAAAAAAAAGGGTAGATTCGTTTAAATTTTAAACATCAAATCTTTTTGATTTTTACAGGAATCCAATTAAGTATTTTTTTTAACTTAAAATATTCGTACAGTAGATGGTACAAAAATACATTTTACTAAAAAATCAAGTGAAACTAACCTATATTTCTAAGCTGTATGCCACTTCCCGAGTTATTTCTTTCCCGGCCTTCATTGTCCAAAAATACGGTAGTTTCTACAGATCCTAAGGTTACACTCTCGGGTCTAAAATCCATAAAAACTTCTAAATTACCTGGTCCTGAAAGAAAAAATCCAGATGTGTTGTTGATGCCACCGATTTGCGAGGATTGAGATCTTTCTTCGGATTGCTGAGTGGTTGTCGACGTGAAGGACGAAGCGGATTCTTGAGGAGTCATATTTTCCATTCCATTTTCCTAAAAATATATAAAAAAAACTATTGGTAAAAATGCGAGAAAAAAATTAAAAATTTTCAAAAAAAAAAAAAATAAATAAATAAATAAATAATTACCTGAAAAGTTTCAGGAGGTTGCGAGTTTGGTAAATTTTCAGAATTTGAATTTTCATTATGAGCTGGCAAATTAGCACCATTTGTGTTTGGGTTCATGTTAACGTTTGCGTTCACACTTGCGTTTCCGATTGTGTTTCCGTTTACGTTTGCATTTACGTTTGAATTACCATTTGTATTTGCATTGTTTGTTGTTGTATTAACATTGGCAGAAGGTTGTTGATTTGTGCCTGAATTAGTCAAATTTGAATTACCGTCTACCGTATTACGACGAGTGCTTAAATTAATTTGGGCCTTTAAAAAAAAAATACAAAAATTTAAAAGTTAAACATTTAAAATAATTAAACAAAAAAAAAAAAAAGCATCATATTAATTTTAAACTTCGAGTACTTGTATTGGAAATACAGTTTCTAAAATGGCCGAATGTTGAATTATCACAGGACGGCATCTTAAAGTCCTTGGAGTATCTTCATTAAAATCAACCATGATGTCGCTCAAAGCGTGATAAGCGTGAGCAAAATGATGCATTGTTTCCGAAACTCCATTAAATAATCTTTGACATTCTTCGGCAGTAGGTGAACTCTAAAAATTCATTTGAAATTGCGTGAAATGAAAAACTTTTAAAATTACAATAACAACAAATTAAAAAAATTTAATTTTACGTTTTCGGTAAGTGAAGGATCTTCAACCATCAACTGATGGCATCGCCTTAAAACGCCTTGAAATCGACGTTGTTGTTCTTCCAATTGTTCTATCAATGTGGCAAAAGATGATGTTCGCCTAAAAGTTAATCACATAAATTTTTTTTTTACAAACTATGAGTAAAAAAAAAAAAATTTTTAATTAATTAGAAAAAATGACGACGACGTACTCAACACTAAGACGAGGAGGAGCCGTATTATTTCCTGAGGGATTATTATCTAAATTATTAGCAATTGAATCACCATCGTGACACTCATCAACACTGACGTCGCTATTCGCTCCTATTTCAACCTCGACTGCAACATCTTCCGGATGATTTTCTGTAAAAATATGACAAAAATTACATAATTAAAAAAGGAATTTCAATGTTAATCGACTCGGACTCTAAAATTTTTTATAATTTAAATGCATAAATGAAGTCTTGTCCCACTGGAGTGAAAAAAAAAAAAAAAAAAAAAACATCAGCTGTATTTGTTAAAACGACATGAATCCAATGTAGAAATCACTAGTTTTTTTTTTTTTTTTTTTTTTTTTAACCAAAATAAAATTTATTAATCTAACGCAGAAATACATAATATCAATAAATTCCAAAATTCTTCTCATTCAACGACCGTAGAAGTTGACATTTTTCTCTAAATAAGCTTACCAGCACAATAATTACATCTCATAGACGAACAAAAAATTATTTAAATTTTACTTTGAAGTATCCAAAATATATGAATAATAATTTTAATTCAAAATAACTGTGAAAAAACGTTATATAATCTGATCACTTTATTGCTTTAGAAGGGAATGTAGCAGGAAATGTTTCACTTGTTAAAACAACCAAAATAACTCTATGACTTCTTATGGAACCGAAAGAAAAGTTATTGAAATATTAATTGATGAAGAGGTAGCATAACTTTAACTAAACTAACAAATAATGAAGAAAAAAAAAATTAATAACTAAGCCAACGTATATGAATTCAAATCAGGCAAAAAAGATATTGAAAAAGGGGTCCTGGCAGAAATAAACACATTACTTTTTAAAAAATGAAAACTTTTTATACACCTAATAATTTGTTCCTATTTAAATACTAGAAATGTGTTAAGTACCATTAATGTTGAGGTTAAGATTTAAATCGCTCATATTCGAGTTTGTGTTATCCAGGTTGGAATTAGGAGAGTCATTCTGACCTGATGCACCTCTAACGGTGATGTGTGGTACAACAGAGTGCGCTGCAGAAACCGCAGCCGCGATAGCTGCTGCGGTAGCAGCTTGTGCTGCTCGCGCAATACTACCCGTTGTTTCTCCAAGAAACATATCTGCTTCTTCCCTCCCTGCAAGCAATAATAGCATTATTGCCCAAAATGTGGACGTCACCACTAGCGCAAATAAAATGATCAATTTATGTTAAAGAAAAGGTCAAAAATAGGAGGTTTAAAAAAATTTTTTAGGACTCACCATTGTTTGAAGTATTAGATGATATAAAATTAACAGAAGTTGATGTTTCTTGGGATTCTGTAACGTTCGAAGGTTGACTTTCATTATTTTCTAAAGCTGTTATGCAAGCCCCTGCTTGATTGAGCATCCTCTGTGCAACAAGAAGTCTTCTTCGCGATAAACGCTGACTGGGAGGCAATTGTATCATTCCTATAAGAAAATGTTAACACACTCTAATTTACAACTAAACCTTTAAACTACTCGACTTCAGAGTATCTAAAAAGATAAGTTCTCCGTCCCTGTGCTTAATATTAAAAGTATTATGTAGTAACTGAAATCAAAGTCAAATACCTTGTGGTTCTATAAAATCAGTAGGGAAAGCCATTGTTCCAAGATAAGTAGAACTACTACCATCAATTCTGTCTCTGTTACTATAGTGAGCTCTTCTGTTGTTTGTCCTCTGATTACCCTCAGAACTATTATTGGCATTGCCTCTGCTAGGAGGAGGAGGAGGTCTTTGAACAAGGTGAATAACTTTACCATTGACATCTGTGTAAATAAAGTACAACAGACATGTAGATTTCAAGTTTAAACATTAAATTTATTAGTTTTTGTAATTCATAGTTTTAGTTCTTATTAAGGCAAACAATCTCAGAAATTAAAAAAATTATAATAAATTTGAAATGAAAGATTAATTTGTAATTTAATTATTTGTTTATTTCTAATAATAGTTCGACTTTATATATCGAATAACTAACACTACTACTTAATACTTGATTAAAAATTACTTTATTAAACTTTAAAATATTATTTAAGGAAGAGATATTTTATTATAGTGTTTTTGCTTACCACCATAATCTGATAACTTTTTCTCATCTTGCAGAACTTTTCCATGAAATATTAGTCTTTGGATTTCAACAGGAACACCCATTTTTTCCAAAATGCTCTCTTTGAGCTGAAGAATAGTGGTCTAAAATATTTCAATGTTATTATAAATGTATTGCTTTAACATTATTTTCAGAGTGAGAGGGCTTTATAGTTAACAAAAGAATGAAATTTCATCAGAAGAATCAAAGCTTTATATAAATATCATCTATTACTTAAATTAAATGGTTTTATGTATTTACAGGTATTGGATTAGTAGTTTTATAGAAAAATAAAAAGAAAAATTACATAAATAACTTTAAAATTTTATAAAAAAAATTTCTTATTATGAATAACCCAAAATAGTTTTCTCTATTTTTGTGTAAGACATTTTTCTCTCATAGGATAAAACTAGAAATAAAGTTATTATAATTGCTTACCTCATCCGGAACTGTAAATGAATGATTCTGAGAATCCAAAGTTTTGACTGTTAATTCTAACATAATTGTCTTAGAAATTTACATAGAAACCTAAAAAATAATTATTTAAATAAGAAACGCAATTATATGCAATATCATTCATCATGTTCATTTGTTCCTAATTTGAACTATAACTCGATCATTACCAGGAGCAAATTATCTATTTAGTTCGAAATTATATTCATATATGAAGAAAAATAGTTAATAAACGAGTAAAATTTAATTATTAGATTGTCATAAAAATTATTAAAAAATATAATATAATTCAAGATTCGTTTTAAAACATCACAAAAAAATGCATAAACAATCTCTATCGTCGTGTCAGAAAAAAAACCAATTTCTAAACTTAACTTTCATATATAAATATTTTACTTATAATTTTTATAATAATAAATCTATATATAGGAAAAAAAAATTATTTTTCAAAGAAATAACGTACAAAAATAACCAATTAGAGTGATGAACTTCACAACTCTTTCATTTGAATGCGGGCTACTAATTAACATATAAAATTTTAGTCGAATTCACGAGAAATGGCGATGTTAATAACTCTCACAGGGAAATTTTTCTCTGCAAAATATTAACTCAATACGATAATTCCAAGGCAAATCTAAGAAAAATATTTTGTAATATTAAAATATATTTTAAAAAAATTCAAATTAAAAAATTATTTTTTTTTTTTTTTGTAATTAGAAAAAATTAAAATTTAATACTTTATACTACTGAGAAAAAATAAAAAAAACACTTAGAATAATTTTAACAGGAAAAAGTTGAAAATCGCTAAGAAAAAATCAATTTTTAATAGATATTAATATTGATCTCATTCGCTTTACTTTATATAAAACTCTTTGTACTTTTAATGAAAAAAACTTTTTCAATTAATTAAAATTAAAAAAAAAAAAAAATGGAACTGATTTAATACCCAATTAAAATCAAATGAAAAACTTCTAGAAGTTCTTATGTAATAATTTTTGACAATATAACCAGAGTAGTTTAAAATAAAGTTGGCTAAACTTTCGTTAATTAAAATGGCAGTAAAAATGGAATTTTAGTTTTGTTGTTACCAATAGATTTTCATAATTGTAATCTACGTAAAAGGTTTTGTTTGAGTTAAATAAATATATTTTGTGTGAGGAAAAATTTTAAAATTATTCAAAGGCACACAAAATAAGTTTTTTAAATATGTTACGAAAAACTAAAAAAATTTTTATCCTTCTACGTGGAACATAATCAGCAATTTGTTGATAAGAAAATCCTTGACGAAATTCTTAATGTCGATTGACGACATTAGTATGTCAAAATTGAAACAAAAAAAAAAAACTTCTTGACATACAATCAAAATAGATTCATGTGGTTTTTTAAAAATCTGTGTAGTAGTGGATAATGGTACTCAAAGAGGTGAAACAGTATATCCTGGTGATTTTGGTTGGAACCGCGATATTCGCTCATGTTGCAGTTGATGAAAGTGTTCCTTCTATGTCATTTGAAGAAAAGGAAGAACTCAAGTATGTTTTTTTTTTTTTTTTTAAATAAAGAAATTATTTATTCAAGAAGATTGCTTACAATTTTTTGTGGCAAAATAGTGTTTGAGAAGTTTAAATTAGTTTAATTAGTAAATAAGTTACATTCATGCTTGGGCTTTAATTATGTTTTCAATATTTCTGTTTTTTAAATATTGTTTATTTACAAGTTTGTAATATTTTAGGGAAGAGTCAAGAGATATGTTCTATCATGCCTACAGAGCTTACATGGTAAATTTTTGTTTTAAATCAAAAAAAAAAAAAAAAAATTGCAAGGTTTTAATTACTTGTTTGACGAAGGTTTATCACTTGTTATAGGAAAATGCATATCCAGCTGATGAATTAATGCCTTTATCATGCAAAGGGAGGTGGAAAGATCCTTTAAACAGTAGGGGAGATTTAGATGATACACTTGGAAAGTAATAAAATGTTTTTATATAATTTTTTTTTCAAAGTTCCTCAATATACATATTCTCAAAATTCCTTAGCAGTAGTTTAAAAAAACTTTTTTATTTTTCAGTTTTTCTCTCACTCTAATAGATTCATTAGACACATTGGTGATCTTAGGAGATTTAGAAGAATTTGAATTAGCTGTAAAATATGTTATTAAAGATGTTTCATTTGACCAAGATGTAATAGTATCTGTTTTTGAAACTAACATTAGAGTTCTTGGGGGACTTCTTTCTGCTCACATACTTGCTGAGTATTTTCAGCAAAGAGATGGAATAATGCCTTGGTACAAGGGAGAATTGTTATTTTTAGCAAAAGATTTAGGTTTTAGATTGCTTCCTGCCTTTAATACAACTACCGGAATTCCACATTCCCGAGTAATATAAAAATTCCTTTAATTTATAATGATTAATTTTTGTGTAATGTTTCATAGCTAAAGTTTTATAACTGAAATTTATTAGGTAAATTTAAAACATGGGTTAAAAAATATGAGTTTATCTGCTCATCAAGAAACTTGCACAGCTTGTGCCGGTACAATGATTTTAGAAATGGCTGCTCTGTCACGATTAACAGGCGAATTCATATTTGAACAGAAAGCGCATAGAGCTATGGATGGCTTATGGAAAATTAGGCACAGAAGTTCCGATTTAATGGGTACTGTGTTAAATGTTCAATCTGGTGATTGGGTAAGTTTATTTTTTTTTATTTAATTTTTTTTTTTTTTTTTGCAATTTTATGATTTTTTCATTTGAGTTATTGATTTGTAGGTACGTCGCGATTCTGGAGTAGGTGCAGGAATAGATTCATACTATGAATATTGCCTCAAAGCTTACATTCTCTTGGGAGATGAAAAATATTTAGGACGTTTTAACAAACATTATAGTGCTATAATGAAATATATCAGCCAGGGACCAATGCTGATTGATGTTCACATGCATAGACCTCATACTAATTCAAAAAATTTTATGGACGCTCTTTTAGCTTTCTGGCCTGGATTACAGGTATTTTTTTTTTTAAGTAAAAAAAAAAAAAAAAAAAAAAACTAAAACTATTATTAATAAAAATTTATAAAAACTCATGGGAAATTTCACAGGTATTAAAAGGCGACTTAAAACCTGCAGTGGAAACTCACGAAATGTTGTATCAAATAATGCAAAGGCATAATCTAATACCTGAGGCGTTTACGACCGATTTTCACGTGCACTGGGGTCAACACCCCCTCCGTCCTGAGTTTGTTGAATCAACTTATTTCTTATATAAGGCTACCAACGATCCTTATTATTTGCAAGTAGGAAAATATGCTTTAAAAAGTTTGCAAAAATATGCCAGGGTGCCTTGTGGGTAAGTTCTTTATTTAAAAAAAAAAAAAACAGGAGAAAAAAATTTTACATATTTCGTAATGAAATTTTTCCATTTTAGTTATGCCACCATAAAAGATGTAAGAACAGGAGGTCACGATGATCGTATGGACTCATTTGTTTTGGCCGAAACTTTCAAGTACCTTTACCTTTTGTTTGCTGATACCAACGATCTTTTAATAGATTTAGATGAATTTTTGTTCACAACAGAAGCTCATTTGCTTCCATTAAGTCTTTCAAGAAATCACAATTTGACTTCGTTTGCCCTGGACGAACAATTTACAGATGATATGGATGGTTTAAATTCAGAATTTGCTAGATGTTGCCCCAACACCCTTGATCTGTTTCCGGAAAGTGTTAGAAAACCTTTAAAAAATTTAGTTAACGGAATGTGTCCAAGAACATCGAAAAGAAAATTACTTGCGTCACAATTTACAGCGGGTTTGTAACTCTCGGTTTAATTTAAATTTTATCATCTTTTAAAATATAACAAAAAATTTAACGTTAAAAATTTCAATCGTAGGCGATTCTGAGCACTTGCAATTATTGAAAAACATGGGTATTGCTGTTTTATCAATGGCCGACGGTCGCGTTCAGCTGGTTCATACCATAGCTAGCGCAAGATCTCAAGCCGATGCAAAAGAAGGTCTACTTTTTATGCAAGAAATGCTTGAATTATCTCAAACTCAGAAACATGTGCCGGACAAAGGCCCTCTTTCTGTCGTTTTTGAAAAAAATGGCCAAATGATTTCAATAGCTGCTGGACCAGCTCATTTCGGCAAAGATCTTTCCGGGGGAATGCGGGTAAGTTTTAATTTAAATTGAATTGGAGAGGTTGAGAATAAAGAGACTAATAAGTAAAATTTTCTTTGTAGGTTACTGCCAAAGTTGGCGTGGCAGATCCTATTCAAGCATGTGAATCATTGAGTAATTCAGATCGGCTCAAAGGTCGAATTGTAATAATACAACGAGGGGATTGCATGTTTGTTAGTAAAGTAAGTTTATTTATAAGGAAAAAATAAGGTATCCGAGCGAGGTATGAAGGACCAAGAACAAAATTTGCACTCTTTTACTTTAAGGTTAGAAAAGTAGAAGAAGCCGGCGCCGTAGCTGCAATAGTTATAGATAATACCCCAGGTTCGTCATTAATGACTTCATCAATGTTTGCCATGTCGGGAGATGGGAAAAACGATGTTACTATACCCGCAGTTTTCCTTTTTCACGAAGATGCATCGGAACTTATGAAAGCAGTAGAAAAAAATCTAGGAATGGAAATATCAATAACGGATGGAAATAATACCGGTAAATCATAACAAAAAAAAAATAAAAAATAATAATAATAAAAAAATGAAATTCGCCAAATCGAAAATCTCCACACACACACACACACACACACGCTAATTATAATTTTATTTTTAGATTTTCATTTATAACAATTTTTGGTACCAAAGCGGAATTTTCGAGAGGTAGCTGTATACAAAAAAAAAAAAAAAAAACAAAAAAAAAAAGTTTTCATAATATATATATATATATATATATATATATATATATATCCTCTGTGTATCATATTGCGCCAAAACGTTTACATTCGTCTTTATATATTTTTTTTTTTATTATCGCTATCCAATCCATTCGATTCAATTGGAAATATTATTTATTTATTTTTATTATTATTATTATTTTTTTTTTATCGTAAAATTTTTATAAAATTCTTATTATTTAAATTTTTTTTTGTTATATAAATATTCTATTAATTATTATTATTATTTTCTTTATTAAAAAAAAAAAAAAAAAAAAGATATATATTAATATGCTTAATTGTAATCCTTCTGTTAATATGCCTCGAAATTATTTAAAAGAAAATCATGACAAAAATTAAATTAATTTATTTTTTTTATTTTATTTTAAATAATGTAATTTATTGTAATTCAGTTGATATAATTGTAATAATTTTTTGTCAGAAACAAAGAAGAAGGGAAAAATTGGATTACTAGATTTCCTTTGGTGGTTCTTTTGATTTATATCGTCTGGTTTTATGATAGTCATGATTCATCCACGTCACCTCAAATTTTTTGTCACAATTATCTTCTACAACAAAAAAAATTATTTAAATTATGGTAAAGTAATTTAAAACAAATTTCGAGGTGTTGGAATATAAATATTGCTGAAATAATTAAATTGAAATGGCGTTTGGTTGCTATACATAAACCGTTTACATCAATTTATTTATTAACACAAACAGTTAAACATTTTCTAACATTATAATAATACCTTAATAATTAAATATTTTCTTTAAATATTTCTTATTTATTTCTCTTAATGTTTATTATTTGGCTTTTATTTACGGTTAATATCTATCTAAATTATTTTTTCTACCGTTAATTATGTTATTTCTAACTTATTTTATAGGTTTCATCAATTTTTTTAAAAAAAATCTGTCTGTTGTAAAAATCAGGCATGAACAACATGAAGTAATTTGAACCAAAGGAATAAATTTGTTAATTTTTCATTTATTTTTAATTAAAGGAAAGGAAAGGAGGAAATTTAATAAAAACAATCGTTATTGATAAAAAAGGAAATGTTTTATTTATAATTTAACAAGCCATTATTACTAAAACGGGTAGAAAATAAGAAAAATATGAATTGTTTTATAACCGTTTGATAAGTATTTTCAAGACCGCCATTTTGTTTTTTTTTTTTTTTAAATTTTAATTTAAATATTTACTTTAATTATAATTTATTTTATGTTGGAATAGAATAAAATGTTTTAAAAAACACATTTTTAATGACCGTTATTTTTTATTTGATTCGAAAAAAGGAAAATTATTGTTATAATTATTCGAGTAATTTTTTTTTTGTAAAAAACAATGAAGGATAAGTTATAAATAAACCGGCCGTTTTTTTTTTTTTGTATTATTTATTTTATTTTTGTTATGTTTTAAATAATAATAATTACTATTGAAAAAACTTTATTTAAATCATTTAAAATGAAATAAATATTAATTTTAATGTGAATTTTGAAAAATTTTGTAAAAAAAAAATGCTTTTAAATTCGGTTTGAAAATCGAAGCGAGTATCAACAGAATTTAATATTAAATTTAAATTCTTTATCTGAGTGCCAATCGATTATTTATAATAATAAATTTATTTAAATTTTAATAAAATAATTAAATTCGATTTTAATTCGTCGAATTTAAAAAATGAAAAAGAAGGAAAAATGATGGAAAGTAATTTAGTTGTTTATTAATGTTAGCAATCTTGCGTTACACGAGACAAGGACTTAAATGTACATTCGTGCAACAGGTTACTAAAAAAAAAAAAACAGTGATGCCAACTGTATAATCGTTTTTAACTAGTAATGTTTTTACAGAAAATTATTATGTGTTAACTGTAGCCTGTTAGCCCTCTATATTTCATTATTTTTATTTAATCTGTTTAATATTTTAAACGTTTTAAGTTAACTCGATTTTTCTAAATCTATTTAAAATAAATATTTAGTTTTATATATATATATATATAAATAACTTTTGTTTCAAAGTTATGCTCGTGCTATTCAATCATTTGATTCATTGAAATCTGACAAGATGGCGGGTTGTAATTATTATCAGGTGAGGTTTTATGTAAAATAAAAAAAAATAAATTTATTATAAGTACAAAATATTTAAAAACGCTCCCACGTAATTTATTTATATATTTCATATAATTTTTATTACATCATTTCTAAATTATAATATCATATTAATGTATACCATTGGTTACGAGACAAGAATTTTTTTTGTGTGATGTTATTCTCCATTTCTTTTTCCATTTTTCGATGTTTCAAAATTATTCACATTCAAATCCTACGATTTATAATTATTCATAAAATCTAAATTTTACATCTTAATATTTTAACCACACATTGTTTTTACTTTCATATTAATTGTAGCTTTTCAAAAAGTCATTTATAAAACCGAAGCTTTCATGATTTAAGTGGATTAGGCATGATGGAGTTATAGCATTATTTAAATATATTTCTTTTAACTTTTCATTAAAATGATTTCGTTTAATTAATTAAAAAAATTTTTTTAACTCGTTACCGTTTTATTAATTTTTCCACCCATTTTACTATTATGCAAACTTTATTCACAAATTTCATATGAATATATATTTTAATTCACATTATATTAATAATGTAAAACTCGACAAAAGTAATACTTATTTTACTTATAAAAATACCTTAATATTACCAATTGATTTATTTAATTTTACAATCTTTTTTTATTCAAACTTATATTACTTTTTTTTTTTTTTCTTTAATCTTATATTTTTAATATTTAACTTATAATAAATACTTTTAATTTTTTGTTTCATTTAGCTTTGTCGTTTTAAAAATGAATTATTCGAAGAGTATTTATTACTTCTTATTAATTTAGTTTATTTTAAATTTATTTTTCAAAAGTTTTGTGGTTTGTTTAAATATATATATAAAAATACACAAATTAAATTTATTACTTTTTATGAACTTTACTTTTAAAATTGTGTACTTTAAAATATGTTTAGATGTTTCACTTTAGATTTATCGCATTACTTTGTTTTTTTTTTTTTGTAAACAAGAAATTATCCTTTCTAATTTCATATTATGAAAACAAACAATAGCAATAATGCTGTAAATATATTTGAAAAAAAGTAAATTAACAGTTTTTTATAACTGTGATTATTTTTTTTTTTTTTTTTCTTTTCTTTTATTTTTCATCCCGACAGTCTGGGATGCTGGGAAAGGAGTTATAACGAATATAACAATTAGTTTTTGATCTCTAAAACGTGGCTACTGTTCATTGCATCTTACTTCGACTATAAAAAAAAGTGTCACCAAAAGTACCAACTGCTGGCATCCTCAAGATACATATATACATATTTAAATAAATTTGTCGAAATTTTATTTCTGTAGTATGTACAATACCATCTTCATACTTTATAAATGTCTATTTAAAAAAAAAAAAAAAAGATGTCTGTTTTATTATTCTTATGTTTTTTTTTTTTTTTTCTTTTCTTTTCAATACTCTCTATTTTTATTTTTATTTTTATTTTTATAGTACACTTAGATTTTTCTTTTTTTGTAAAAGTAGAGAATGTTGAGTGAAAATTTTATTTTAAAAAAAACTTTTAAATTTTTCTGTTTTTTCCTTTTCGTTAATAATAATAATAATAATACATCAATGATTATAAAATTTATAAATAATAATTTATATTATTTAATAAGTAAAACAAGTAGTAATTATTATTTAAGAAAAAAAATATATATATATATATATATTAGTCAGTATTTTTATAAATGATTTAGAATTTCTAAAAGCCATCATCTATTTATTATTTATTTATTTATTTTTTTCTAACAACATTTCAGTTATTGACAGTTGTGGTAATAATAAAATAATTTCGTTTATTTTAAACTTGTTGGGAAAAAAAAACCTACGTCAAAAGTTTTCTTTCAAAAGGAAACAAAAAAAAAAAAAAAAAAATAGTTTCTTTTTTTTTTTTTGTCAAATAATTGTTGTATTCAAACCATTCATTTATTATTGAAATTTAACAAACAACATGATACACTATAATTTCCTTTATAAATTCATTCTATTATTTATTTTATTTCACATAATTATTTTACATTACAAAAAAATTTTGACGTGAAAAAAAAAAAAAAAAAAAAAAAAAAAACTTATTAAGTAGTTATTAAAAACTAATTACTAAAAAAATCTAAACAATTATTAATAAAGAAAAAAATTACACATTTTATTGTAAAAAATCACTTTTTCTTCTCATTGCTAAAAACAATAGAAATCCATTGGTCGGGGGCCGGGGGGCGGGGAGGAAAGTTCCTTAAGGAACATCAATTGATTTAAATTTTTTAAATTGGACTCAAACAATATAGATTTAAGTTAGGGAATGAATGATTTATATATATATATATATATATATACTATACAGTAGTAGAATAATGTAAATTAAATTATTTTTAATATGTAAATGCATATTTGCATTTTTTTTTTTTTTGTCATAGATTTTTGTCATTTGTTATTGTATATACATTATCCTTTTTCAATGAAAAAAAAAAAAAAAAAAAAAAATGATATTTAACATTTTTTTTATGTTACAAAAAAAATTAATAGGGAGATTACATTCGTCATCCCATTTTATACGAACTTAGTCATAAATATGGCTTACCTACATCCGATGGAGTGCCAGAAGCCGTTTTATCTAGCAAACTCGAAGAACTTAAGGAACACATTCGGAAAGAAATACGAAAAGAATTGAAAATAAAAGAAGGTGCTGAGAAATTACGGGAAGCTGCTAAAGATAGAAAATCATTGGCCGATGTCGCGTCCATATTGAAGAAGAGCAACACTAAACTTGCAGATCTGCAGGCAGACGTGCAAGAATTAGAATCCCAAATCATTCTTACACAATGTCAAGGAAATACCATCATCAATGGACAAAACGGTACGATAGATATCACTTAATTATTCAAGTTCAAATTCTATAATATTTGTTTTTTATTTAAATTATGTTTTGAAATTATAAATAACCTTCAATTCACCTTTTTTTTTTGTTGAAAAAGAAAATAATTACAAAAACTTCATTTTAATAGTTTTAAATTGTACATTTATCATTGGTTTAATCATTATACGCATAGTTCAAAATTAAATTGATGAAATTGACAAGGTCAGATGGCTGACATTCATAATTCTTTTTTTTTTTTTTTTTTTAAGGCTATTTAAAATGTGTTCAAATTGAGTCTATATTATCCATCCAGGGTTTAGGAAATAATATTAATTTTTTTTCTTTTTTATTCCAGATTCCCACGTTTCTCCAGTCACTTCGAGCACCGATCCTCAAGATCAAAGATGGTTATCGTTGGAAAAGCAATTGAACATCGAGCTCAAAGTGAAAGCAGGAGCCGAAAATATGATCGCTAGTCTTGGTCACCGGGATAGAAAACTCCTTGCAGAAGCTCAACAAATGTTGCAAGATTCCAAAGCGAAAATTGAATTTTTAAAAATGAGAATAAACAGAGCTAAACAATTGAAAAATGATTCTCCGGCAAATGGTGATCGTTCCCGTAAGAATAAAATAATAGATATCGAGAGAGAGAGAGAGAAACTTTTACGAAAAAAATTTAATTAATTTAAATTTAAATTTAAATTTTTTAGATAAATACGACTCCCCGTTGGAGATTCCTTTAGAGGATCGAATTGAAGAATTGCGACACCGTCTTAGAATCGAAGCAGCCGTTGTCGAAGGTGCGAAAAATGCTATAAAGTTACTTCAAAGTTACAAAGTAGCGGATAAAAAAGCTTTAAACGAAGTAAGTTATTTTTATAATTATTATTATTATTCATATAAAAAGTAATACGCGATAAAGTAAAAGTTTAACGACATTGCCAATTGAATGCAGTGCATCATTATATTAATAAAAAAATTTAGGTTAGTTGGCACATCCTAACTGGTTGATATTCATCAACCGGTTGTTGTTGGTACTCATTGAATGAATCCCCTTTAAAAAGTTTACAATTTTACGGGTGGGGGAGGGGGAGAAAGTGTTTGGTAAACTTAAATTATGCGTTTTCACACAAGTAATTGAGGCGTTTTGCCTGAACTGAAGAAAGCAAAATAATAATAATATGTATATATTTATATATGTAATATTTTGCACAAGTTTGTTAATTTAATTTGTACCTTTTAAATGAGTCACAGCACACGTGCTAAACTATAATAACACGTGGTGCTAATACGTTGAATTTATGCTTACTACAATGCAATTTACAAGTTGTTTTTTGTTTTTTTTTTTGTCGTTGCATTTAAATAAAATTTTTTTTTTTTTTTAATAAATAGACAGTTGACTAAGGCGGCACACAGAGAGAGAGAGAGAGAGACCTTTGACATAAAATTTTAATACTCTTAAAATAAATTATTGCCATCGCATTAAATTTTGGCTCTCGAAAAATAGAAAAAGTTTTGATTTTTTTTTTGGCATTGCAACGCACATTTTTTTTTTTTTTTTTTTTTTTTCAAATTTATTCAATAGAATTTTTATTTACATTTATTATATGATTCACATGGATTTTTATTTATATATATATATAAATTTATTTTTGTATGATTTTTTTTTTTTTTTTTTGTTATTTAAATGCGTAATTATTATTCGTATCTGTTTCATGGTATAAAAATGTACGTTTTAATAATTTAATGTCGATTGTTATTTAAATTATTATTATTATTATTATTATTATTATTAGTATTATCTACCGCTACGTCGGATTTTAAAGTTATGAAAATTTTGATTGACTTTTAAAAAAAAAAATGTTGCTTTTTTCCTAAAATTAATGGAAAATGGCCAAAGTTTAAAAAAATTTTTTTTTTGAAATTTTAGTTGCACCGGTTTTTCTGAATTATTACAACCTGGATTACGGTCAATCCTTTTTTTTTTTTTTTTTTTTTCTTTTTTTTTTTCGGGATTTTTGTCGGGATGATTGGAATTTTCTCAGTTTCAGTTTATTATTGACTTTGTTTTGTGTGACTAAATAATTTTTAAAAAAAATAAGAAACGCAGTGATTTTTAATATTTAACAAAAAAAAGGGAAGAAGAAGAAGAAGAAAAACGAAGAGGAGGAGGAGGACAATGGGTGACGACGATTTAACAACGTCTGTCATAACGGAAAGATGGTCTGGACGTGCAAATTTAATTGTTTCCTGCGAAACTCTAAGAAAACTCTACGGAAATAATAATAAAAATTACATTAATAATAATAATAATAATAATAATAGGAAAACGTTTGATTTTAATTGTATCGAATCGAATAATCCCACGTACGGATTTCAAAAAGGTTTTCTCTTGTTCACGACCGTTCCTCCCCGTTGCGATGGAAAAATATTTTTCGAATACGAAGAAAATCGTTCGCAAACGTTTCCGAGGACGATTAAACGTCACCATCAAATAATACGATCCTCCGGTAATTCTTTTCCATCCGAGTCGTTATTTTCGTCGATTACTTCGTTTGAAAATGACGAGGATTATGATGGGCGTGAGCCGGAGAAGAAATTGTGCAAGAGCACTTGTAGCATCGTACTGGAAAATAATCAATTAAAGAATAAAGCTGATGATGTTAATCGCGAAAAAGAAGAGAAGGCGAATAAAGTGACAGCAGAAGACATTGTGGACGAAGACGAAACTGTTACGTACAACAGCACTCAATTTTCAACGAATCTGTTGGATAAAAACAATATGGCGAATGTAAAACGAGGGGAAAATAAAGCTACGAATCCAGGTTTAAGAAACGATACCAAATATTTTGAACCGGAAAAATGTGGGAAATCTCAAAATGATAATAATACTAATAATAACAACGTAATAAAAAAATATGATTTATTAGGTGATGATGTAATAAAGGAGGATCGCGTAAAAATCGGTCGAATCGAATTTCAAAAATCTCATAATTCAAATGGATTTTTAAAAAAATGGAACAAACATTTCGGTCCTGCCAAAAATTCTTATTGCTTTTGTAGTAATTGTCGATGGCATTTTGAAAAAAATAATTAATAATAATAATAATAATTAATTGAAAAAAAAAAAATGTATTTTTGTAAACATTAAATGTTGTTGTGAGAATGACGGAAAAATAAAACGTAGCCATTTTTTTTTTTTTTTTAGTAAATTTGTATTTGAATTATGTATATATAAATTAGTATTTGTGTACTATACATAAGGTATTTTTACATTATTTAATTTTTGTGAAGTATTAATAACTACTCTACAACATTACTCGTACTTTATTAACCTATTAATTAATTAAATTATTATCCTAATTAAAAAAAAGAATGAGGAAGAGTATCATCTTTCTTTCATTATTAAAATATTGGTAATTTTTTTTTTTTTTAATGTTGGTCATGTTTCAAATAAAAATTTTTCAGACGTTGATTAATATTTTTATTTATTTATTTATTTATTTATTTATTTACAGGCTCAAGCTAGTTTGTCAGCGTCTAGTAAAAAATTAGATCTCTTGAGATATTCGTTGGAGAAAAGGCGTCAAGAACTTCCTCCGGATTCACCGGCATCCGCTCAATTAAAAAAAGAATTGCAAAGTGTTCAAGCTTCGAGTCCCGGATCGATCACGTATACCAGTTTGCAACCTTTCAGAGCAGCCGATTCCAGGCAAACAAATCCAACGTCTCATACTTCATTTAGCCGATGTGCTTCCGTCACGGGAAAATTAGAGGTACTTAATTTCAAATGCTTCGTTCGTTTGTAAATTTATGGAAATTTGTAGCATAAATATAAATTTTTTTTTTTAGGTAAGATTAATGGGATGTCAAGATCTTCTGGAAGATGTGCCTGGAAGATCAAGACGAGACAAAGATATTTTGTCTAGTCCAAGCGATCTCCGTTCGGTTTTAATAAAAGGAGTTACAGGGAGAAGTTCCAGTAAGTCTTACAGCGTCAAAGATGAAACCAGTCGTGAGTTTTAATTTTTTTTTTTTAGTTTTTTATTATGTTTTTTTTTTTTGTAAGTTAGGTTTGTTACAAATGAATATTTTTTTCTTTTTATTATTTTGCAGAAGAAATCATGGCTGTGATCAAATTGGATAATCAACAAGTGGCTCAAACAAGTTGGAGAGTTTGTTCTCAACAAGCTTGGGATCAAAGATTTTCAATTGAGTTGGATAAGTCGAGAGAATTGGAGCTTGGAGTCTACTGGAGAGATTGGAGGTCTCTGTGTGCCGTTAAATTTTTAAAATTGGAAGAATTTATCGATGACGTACGACACGGGATGGCGCTCCAACTCGAGCCTCAGGGATTGCTTTTTGCAGAGATCAAATTTTTAAATCCGATGATTTCGAAAAAGCCGAAATTACAACGTCAGAGAAAAATATTCAAACAACAGGGGAAAAATTTTCCGAGAGCCAATCAAATGAACATAAATGTCGCCACCTGGGGCAGATTGTTGAAACGTTCTTCTCCGTCAATACAAAATTCTCATCGCGTTCCCGAAGTCTCTCAAGGTACGTACCTAAACGGTTGTAAAGAATAAAAAAAAATTTTATTCATCAATTTTATAAATTTTTATTTATTTATTTATTTTTTTTCTCGTCATTTTCACAAGTCGAAGAAAAGCAAGAAGCACCTGGTGAAATTCCAGATCCCGTCGGAGGAGGTTTATCCGGACCCCGACCGTTGGGTTTAAATTTGGGCGTTGCAGTTCTTCCTCCTCTGCCTCCGGACACGCCTTCATTACTGCCCTCGGCGATAGCTCAAAATCAATTTAAAAAAAGAACTGTTGTTTCTCCTCCGGTGGTACCTCCTCTACCCAATGCAAAAATTGACACCGAGGTAAGGTCAAAATTCTTACGGGTATTCTTCTTTCTCTCTCTCTCTCTCTCTCTCTCTCTCTCTCTCTCTTTTTTTTTCTTTATGAGAAGGGAGTAAATTAAAGTCGTCTTCATTTGTATACTTTCACAAAAATAGTTGTAGTTTATTTATTTATTTATTTATTTATATTAAGATGGTAAGAGTTTCTAAAACCTTTGAAAAAAAAAAAAAAAAAAAAAAATGAAAAAACTAAATTTTATTGATAATTAATTAATTATAATTTTACAAATGGCGTAATTTGAATTAAAGGGTTCTAGAAGAAATTTCTAATGGATTTTGACTAGTGATTGCTTTAATCTATTTTGTTTATCATGCTCGCACAATTTTTTTTTTTTTTGCACAATATTTAATTTACGCACACAAATGATTATTACAACACTTGAAACGAAAACGTTGCCACGAGTAAAGGGGTAAAAGAGGTCGGGTTGGGGGTGGGGGGGTGGAGTCGTAAATTTGTATTTAATGAAAATTTGTTGCAAGTCCACAAAATCAAATGTTCGATAAACAGCAAACAATTTATGAAAGTTGCAGAACGTACTTGGGGAATTTGACTTCTTACACGAAGAAGATCGTTACGAAAAAGGTGGAGAAGAGAAATCCCAAACAGGAGATGGGAGATCGATTTCGGGATCCCCGCAGCCGATCATTGAGTTCCCCGATGATGAGGTAGAGACAACATAATAAAAGCAATACCAAAAAAAAAAAAAAAAAAAGCGTGGGAAAAGAAAATCGTTTAGCTTTTGTTGTTGCATGGCATTGTTTGTATTTTTTTTTATTCATTTTTATGCAGGACGAAAAAATGAAAACGTACATCAATCAAATCGCTTAAAATTGTTGCATGCAAAAAAGTCTATTAGTAGTAGTTGTAGTTGAAATCACAAAAGCTTTCTACGAGGGAGGGGAGGGGGAAAGGGGAAGGGGGGGTTAATTTTGCTTCGAAAATTGTTTTAATACTTTTTCGAAAGCCTTGTAGTATGGCAACAAAAAAATTATATACATTCAAAATAACCGGAAATCATTTTTTTTTTTTTTTTTTTTTTGGGGAGGGGGAGATCATCACGCTTATTATCGATATGGGGGGGGGGGGGGGAAAAAATCAAAAGAGGCCATTTTTTTTCTCATCTGCAATGGGATATGCTCCATCAGGTTCATTCGATTCTCTCTTACCATCTTGGATTTGGAAAACATTTTTCATTTCACACAAAACTTGTACATAAAATAATCTAACTTTTTTTTTTACAAACAAAGACTTTGGGGCTTTGGGCAGCCCCACAGGCCACAGTTGGGGCTTTGGGTAGCCCCACGGGACACAATTGGGGCTTTGGGCTTTTGTTATGAAAATAATATTATTAGGTTATGTAAATTATTTAATTTAATATTTTGTAAGGGTAAGTTGTGACAATTTTTCTGGTCGACATTTTTTTTTTTTTTTTTTATTAATTACTAATAAAAATTTCACATGAAATTACTAATAATTTAATCTTAAATATAACAAAATTATTTATTTATATAATATTTTTTGTAAAAACTGTTGTGAAATAATAGTATAATAATATAATAGTATAATAGTCAGTCATTAACATTAACTAAATAGTATTTTTAGTTTTTTTATTTTATTTTGGAAAATATAAACGTATAAATAATAAAATTGTGGTTCTAACTTTATGTGGGATGCATATAACTAAATCAAAGCGTGGTAAATGCAATTTTTTTTTTATTAATAATAAACTCTTTTTTTTCTCTCTCTCTCTCTCTCTCTCTTTCTCTATCTCTCTCTCTTTTAAATAAATTTAGGTACCGGAAACGATTCCTGTTCAACCCTCTGACTCGGTTAGACGACCATCTTTATCTCGTCGTCAAAGCGAACATAGAGAAAACAGGGACAGCGCATACGAATCTAAAAGACATTCGCAATATTCTGGAATGTCTTTGGATAATTTCAGACTGTTGAGCGTACTCGGAAGAGGACATTTCGGAAAGGTAAAAGTTCATAAGTTCAACTTTTAAGGTTTGCCTTTTTTTTGTAAATAACGTTTTATCGTTGGAAATTTTTCATTTCAGGTTATTTTAGCTCAATATCGTAACACGAAAGAATATTTTGCAATTAAAGCTTTGAAAAAGGGTGATATAATAGCGCGTGACGAAGTGGAAAGTTTGCTGTCGGAAAAGAGAATATTCGAAGTGGCTAATACTATGAGACATCCATTTTTGGTTAATTTGTTTGCTTGTTTTCAAACCGAGGTGATTTTCTTTGATCGCTAAATCAAACGTTTAATTGGGAAATTTGTTAAGTAATAATAATAATGATGATGATTCGGTTACAGCAACACGTGTGTTTCGTTATGGAATATGCTGCCGGAGGTGATCTCATGATGCATATTCACGCGGATGTATTTTCCGAACCGAGAGCTATTTTTTATGCAGCTTGCGTCGTATTAGGACTTCAATACCTTCACGAAAGTAAAATTATTTACAGGTACGCGCTAATCTTTCTTGCGAATTTGTAAATCGTAATGACGTCAATGATCGTTTTAATTTTAAATTTTTAACTCCCCCCTTCCCTCACCTCTCCGTTGATGTTGCAGAGATTTAAAACTAGATAATTTACTATTGGATACGGAAGGCTATGTGAAAATAGCAGATTTCGGTTTGTGCAAAGAAGGAATGGGTTTCGGTGATCGTACGGGAACGTTCTGCGGGACTCCAGAATTTTTAGCTCCCGAAGTTCTCACGGAAACGTCGTACACTCGTGCCGTTGACTGGTGGGGCCTCGGCGTTCTCATATTCGAAATGCTCGTCGGAGAGGTAAAATTATTTATTTATCGTGCTTGCCAACGTCCATTCTCGCGTTTCCTCCTCATCTAACTCCTCCTATTATTTCAGTCTCCGTTTCCGGGCGATGACGAAGAAGAAGTTTTCGATTCGATAGTTAATGACGAAGTCAGGTATCCGAGGTTTCTTTCTTTGGAAGCGATTGCAATCATGCGTAGAGTAAGTGTTTATCACATTTTTTAAGGTTTGAATTTATTTATATATATATATATATATATATTATTTCACGAATGATAAATTTTTAGTTGTTGCGTAAAAATCCGGAAAGAAGACTTGGATCGAGCGAAAGAGATGCGGAAGATGTTAAAAAACAAGCATTCTTCAGATTGATATCATGGGAAGATCTTTTGTTGCGAAAAGTCAAACCGCCTTTTGTTCCGACAGTGGTGAGCATCCATCCATCCATCCATCCATCCATCTTTATTTTCAAATTATTGACCACGTGTTTCATTAATTAAATTATTAATAAATATTTTTTAGACTTCGTCCGAAGATGTTAGCAACTTTGACGAAGAGTTTACCTCCGAACAACCACAATTGACTCCACCCAAGGATCCAAGGCCTCTATCGGACACGGATCAAACATTATTCAAAGAATTTTCATACATGGCGGATTGGTGCTGATGAAATTCCTACGACATAATTATTATTATTATTATTTTTTTTAAACAAAAACAAAATAAATGTTTTTCGTGTATATAGTCACATATATATATATATATATATTAACATTGTAAGTACTAAGTACTAATGTTATATTTATTACGAGTTGATTCAATTGTTTTTTTTGTAAATTCCCTCCCACGGGGGGGAGGGAGTAGGAGGAGGACGTGGGGGGGGAGTGGTTTGTTATTTCGCAATCGATCGATTGATTTCGTTAAAATTGAAATAGAATAAACAAAAGTATAATAATAATAATAAAATTTGGCGCATGAAAAATAAGGAATAAGGAAAAATGTACAGGTTTTAAAAAATTTTACTTTATTAATAATTATAATAATAATTATATATATGTATTATCTTAATTTTTTTTTTATATAATGAATTTCATGTTATTGATAATAGAAAAAAAAAAAAAAATGTAAATAATTATTATTATTACGTACATACATTATTATTAACAGACGCAAATATAAAAGAAATCATTTATGAAATTTGTCTTAATTTTATTTCGGAGAGAAAAAAAAACTAATATTAATAATGATAATGATAATTTTTTTATATATATATTTTTGGTTTGATATGTGGTGGTACCTTCTTTTTGAATTTAACGTGGGAAAAATTTTATAACGAATCATCGATTAATAAAAAAATAAATAAATAAATAAGTATGTAATTATAATTAAGACTGCACCTAACATTATTATTAACTTATTATATTATTATTATTATTATTATTATTAAGGAATGAAATGTGTGCCTTTTAAATTGGTTTTTGGCACAACGTGTAATAATGAAATTTTTTTTTTTTTTTTTGATTATAAATAGAAATGAAGAATTAATAAAAATAAAATGATTAATTAATTAATTAATTTTTTTTGTTAAATATTTAATATAAACGATGATTATTATTATTATTATTGTGTAGGCTTCGCGCGGAAAAAATTTATTTAAAATTTTTTTTAAAAATAGATTTAATTGATTTTATCGTTTGAGACTAATAATAATAATAATGTAATGTTTAAAATGACTATATTAATAAAAAATTCTAATAATTTATTAATAATATTTTTATTATTATTATTATTAATAAATAATCGTTGTATTGTTATTTACCATCTTTGTTTTTAAATTATTATTATTATTATTTTCATTTTTTTGAAAACTTTGCCTTTTTTTTAAATAAAATAAAATAAAATAAATAATTGAAAAAAAAAAAAAAAAAATTTATTTTTAAAAACGTTTTTATTTATTTAAATTATGTATATTGTTTTGCTTTATTTAACAATTATTATTATTACTATTTAATGAATTTATTTTTTTTTTTTAACATTAGAGTGGTGCTCAATTAACACAATTTCAATATTAATAATAATAATAATAAATTTTCTTTTTAATAATAATAGGGAAAACTCCATATTGGAAAAATTCAACCGAGAGTTTGTGCCTTAGCGTTGTTGTTTTTTTTTTTTTTTTTTCATTTTCTCTCAACGATTTATTTTAATAATAATAATAATAATAATAACTATTACTAATAATTTTAAATATAATAATAATAATAATATTGTAATAGAAATCGACCGGTTTAAATTTTTTTAATAACTAATTTTATTTATAAATATTTATCATTCATTCAACTTTATTATTATTATGTATAAAATTTTTTTGTTATTAAATATATATTAATATTATTATTTATATATTATGAATTTCATATATATATGAGAAAAAATGGGCCTAATTATTGATAATTATTATTATTATTATTATTTTATTAATTAACTATTATATTAAATTTTAAAAAAAATTTTAAACTTATGATTTGTTAAAATTTATTATTATTATTATTATTATTGATAAGGTATTTAACTTGGTATTCCTGTTATTATTATTATTATTATTTTTTTTTTTTTTAATAATAATAATCTTTTGGATTTTAATATTATTTATTTGTAAATTATTTTAATAAAATATTTAAAGCTGTAGAAAAATTGGTTTACAAAACTAATAATGTAATATGGACGGTAACGGTTTTTTTTTTTAAATTCAACGACTTTTTCATAGTATAAATAAATTTTTTTTAGTATAAATATGGACGATAAGTGTACATGACTCTACTAAAAATATACTATATAATTTATTTGTCATAAAAAATCATATATAAATTTAGGATTTGTAATTAATTTTTAAAATATAATGTTGAAAACTTTGTTTAATTTGATGAAATGAAATTTCTAATTTTTTAATATATGATATATATATATATATATATATATATATATATATATATAATTTATATTTATATTATATATGTATATAAACATATTTTGATATAACTGTGTGTAATTATGGTTGTAATTTATTAAAAAAAAAAATATCAAGTTTTTGACATCATTCGAATTAATTTTTAATAATCATTGCTTTGGTCTTTATTATTATTATTATTAGCCTTTATTATTATTATTATTATTATTAACGTTTTGCTTTACATAGCTTTAAATATATATATATATATATATTATAAAAAATATAAGGGTGCCAAGTTAAATCGATTGTATTAAATTATTATTATTATTATTATAAAAGCTCAAAATAATTTCTTGGAGCATTCGAATAAAGTAATGTATATAAATTAATAATTTTTTGTGCCTTTTTTTTCTGTTTATGTTAATAAATAAATTATTTAAAGACAGCCTATTAAAAAATTTAAAAAGAAGAAATAATAATAATGATTAAATATTGGCAGGTTTAAAAGGTAGTAGAATTTATCATGTTATTAATTATTATTATTATGGAGATTTTTATTAATATATAATGTAGGCTGCTCAAATGATACATATAATAATAGTTAATTTTGTAATGATAAAAATAATTAATAATAATAATAATAATTAGTGGATAATTAGGAGATTGGAAAATGCACTTTTTTCAAATATTATTAATTTAAAATCTTATATACATATATATATATATATATATTTATTAATTTTAAATTAATTATAATTTTTTTTTAAAATGAAAACATTAATAACAAGCGAATAATAATAATAATAATTGAAATGATATAAATATATATATATAAAAAAAAAAATATTAACTTTCTTTTAATGCTTTTGTATAAATTTGTTTTCTGTTTGTATATATAAAATTATTTAATTGATTTTTTTTATATTCGCAATTTTTTTTATCAATCGTTTCTAATGGAGAATCAGGTTTAATTAATCCTTTTGTTATTTGATAGCAAACCGATGATGAATCTCTTTCTCTAATTAAAAAATTTAATCTGTAACATATATATATATATATAATTATGTTTTAATTGAATTTATGTTTAAAATTATTCCTTTAGGCATGTATTTATTATTTTAACTTTTACTTTTCATTATCGGTATTTAATATTTTCATCCAGTTGTCGATATCTTCAGGACTTAATTGTTCATGCGATAATATTGGAATGTAAATTTCTGGTTTACTATTCGATTTTTCTTTTTGCCCGATAAAATAAAACATTTTCAATATTTCATTGTAGTGATAATTTAATGTAAAAAATTTTTGTACTGAAATTTAAAATTTTTTTAAATTTTATTAATATTAATTTTATATTTATGTATTTTGTTTAAAATAATACAAGGACTTTACCTTCTATAAGTTCTATGTAAGATTCAAAAACTAAATGAGCTTTTGAGGTATCTAAATTATGGGTACTGCAAAAGTTTAAAAGTTCTTTTAACTAAAAAGAAAAATACATTTTTGATTTGAGTACTAAAATATTTTATGATTGTATTATTACAAACAATTTTTATGCTTTTTTTAACATTTTTTGTAAGCTTACCAAGGGATGATTTTCCATTTAAATTTTTTCGTTTTTTTTTTGTCTAAGCCAAAAGGTAGTTTTTAAATTTCATTATACTTTATTATACGAAAGTAAATGATAGTATAAAAATACTATCATTAAAAAAGTAGTCATAATATTCTTATGTAATTATTATTTAATCCAAATGTTTTATTTTACCTTTCAGCAATTTACAAGTGACTTAATATTTATTTATCCAACATTTTAGCTCACGATAACTGACTTAAGGATATATGACTCTTGAACTTGGAAAAATGTTGGTCAGTAAAAATAATAGGTTGGTACTCGTGCAAGGTAGAAAACATGGCTCATTAGAAACGTGGACTCAGTCGAGAAAAGTCAAGTTGTATAATATTTTACATTGAACTTTTTACATTGAGTACCATTAATTGTAGATAATATTTATAACCGAAATTTATTTGGAATATTAAAAAGAAAAAATATGACTAAAGCGAATGGTACATGTGAAACTGAAGAACAAAATAATTGCCCTGGAGATGGGCAACCGAAAACCGCCAAACAGCTGGAAAAAGAAGCTAAAAAGTTAGCGAAATTAGAAAAGTTGAAGCAGAAACAAGAAAAGCTTGCTAGTATTCTTGTTAAGGATAAGAGTCAGGTAAATGTTTCATTTTTTATTTAATAAAAGTGTTTTTATGTAAGGTTAATAAATGTCAACTTCATCAAGAGGGTTGTTACAAAATTTTTTTTATTAAAAGTAACTATTTTGTGAAAATTATTATTTGATTCTTCATTAAAACAAATCATATTTTATTTTCTATTTATTGACAGTGGTCACTTGTGTTAAGTTTTCAAATATTATTTGCTGTTCTTAAAATGTTAAAGAATAAATTAGTACTTCCCTAATGTCACATATGTTATGATGTGCAGTCTATATTTTAGTAAAATAAAGTGTAGCATTCTACTGAGATTTGGCCTAACCAAAAAGAAAGGAAAATGAGTAATTTTTTTAAAATTATGCAATATTTTGGTAACATTCTGATTGTGTCAGTGTTACTCAAAACATTTTACTTTCTAAATTATTATTTTATTTAACAGAATGTATTCTGAAAATTTAACTGGCCTTTCTGGTTATTTCCAAGGTTAGGCTTTTTTTTGTAACCATAACAATTTCAAGGTCTTATTTTGTTTTAAAATTTAACAGATTATTTTAAAAACAAATTGTTATTAAAAAATATTGCATGAATGATTGCAATAAGAAGTTTTAATTATTCATCATTATGATAGTAATTGTATTTTTTAATTTCAGAAAAAACCGAAAGTCAAAAAAGAAGCAGCTGTTTATGATGTACCGACTCCGGAAGGAGAAAAAAAAGATACCAAAATCCCACTGCCTGATGCTTACAGTCCTCAATTTGTGGAAGCTGCCTGGTATTCATGGTGGGAAAAAGAAGGATTTTTTAAACCTGAATATGGAGTTAGTATACCTTCAATTAAAAATGTTCACTACATCAAATTAAATTCTCTCAAAATTTATTATTTTGTCGCTACATTTCTGTTCAATATTTTTTTAGAACAAAATATTTTTTAAAATTTGTAGGAAAAAAGGGGGACATTAAATTTATTCATTCAATCATTTTATTTCCTAATTTTTTTATCTTATTAAGTGACGCATTACTTTTAAGGTCATTATCATGTTGACCAACAACTAACACTCTGCTTCTTATTAATGAGCCAGTTTCTTGTAGACTGCCTTGACCAATTCAAACATGAAGTAATTGACTAGTTTTAGTTAATAATCTGTTATATCAGGAAATAAATGAAAGAAAATTTTTAATTTTTTTTTTTTTTTTTTTTTCCTGAAAGTAGAACATTAATCAATTACTTCCTTTCTTATAAGCGTATTTAAAAAATTTCATTTGCTCTTATGATATGTTTTTTTACTTTGAGTAGAAAACTAATATAACTACATATTTTTTTTAAACTTGAAATCAATTGCCAAAAGCAATTCATATTGTGTAATAAAACATTTGTTGTAACAAAAAATACTTTTATCGAAATTTTTCTATTCGTATTTTAGGGCATTCATAAAAGCATATTTTATTTGCAGCAAAAAATTCAGTTTCAAAAACAGAGAATTTATGTTATTTTTAGCAAAAAATTATTCATTATTAAGAAAAGCATATTGTACTAATTAGATTTGAAATTTTTTTTTTTGATTTTAGAGAGCGAGTGTTCATGAATCGAATCCTAAGGGTAAATTTGTTATGATAATACCTCCACCGAATGTGACTGGATCTCTTCATCTTGGTCATGCCTTAACCAATTCGATTGAAGATTGTTTGACAAGATGGTGAGTGCAAATTATTATAAAACTTAAAATTTAACAGGGTTATACTCAAATTTCAAAAACTTTTTTAAAAAAAATTCTTTAGTTTTAATGTGACATTTGAAAAATATTGAAATTAATTTTTTTCTCATCATTTTTTTCGGTAGCAAACACAAGGTCTTATAATTTAAGAGGAAAACTTGCTTTTTAAAAATCACAAAAAAGCTACATTTTATTATAGTTAAAAAAAAAAAAGAAAAAAGGGTTTTGGTTTGAGTATTACTTAAATATTGCTTTTAACTCATGCATGAAGTATTTTTTAAGCTTTTGGGCTTTTTTTTTTTTTTTTTAATAACAAATGCATTTTTAAATTGACATTGCAGAACAAACAGTTCTTCTTTGTTTATTAAATGCATAAGTAAACATTGTGTATACATGTTGCACATAAATTTTATTCATTTTGTCAATTTGAAAAAAGCAAAAAAAGCAAAAAAAAAAAAAAAAAAAGCCCACATTTTTGAGTTGGTATTGATGGTATGGCGTTTAAATGGCGTTTTTTTATGTTTTTTTGCGTTACGAGATGTGTGGATTTGCATTTGTGTTAAGACTTAATTAGCGCATAAAAATCGTAAAATGATAGAAAAACATGTCGTGCTTCTTATATGTAAGATAAATTTTTTTTTCTAACGGTTATCATAAAATTAAATCGCGAGAGAAAAATGAATCCCTTCGATTTCATTGTTAAAACCAATTTTCAATCAGTCGAGACAAAAAATTTTTGATTTTTCTTCTTCTTCATTTTTCCATTTAATAACTATTGTATTATTTTGCGTAAAACTTTTATCATTATCATTATCATTATTATTATTATTATTATTATTATTATTATTATTATTATTATTCGTAATATTTTTATCGACTGTCGAATAACGTGTCGAACGTTTTTCCTTTTTTTTTTTTTCAATCAATCAATCACCTGTTGTAAATAAAAATTGGTTTTAATTCAAGTATGTAGTAGTATATGAATTTTTGTGAGAAAATCAAGGGCATTCAATATTCTAAGAAGGAAAGAGTGGCTAATTACAAGAGATGAAGAGAGAGAGAGAGGAGAAAGGGGGGTAAAAAAAACGGAGTGAAAGACAGAATGAGAGTGAGAGAGAGAGAGAGAGAGAGGAGAAAGGGGGGTAAAAAAAAACGGAGTGAAAGACAGAATGAGAGTGAGAGAGAGAGAGAGAGAGTGTAAGAGAGAAAATGTCGTCATGACAACCGGAAAAGCGTGGATTCTCCGACTGAAAATTTTCGGTTCAATTTTCAATTCAATTTTCCTTATGTCAATTTCAATAATTCTCTATTTTTTTTTTCTTTTTGTCACGATTCCTCTTCTTACTCTGCTAAAAAATTATTATTATTATTATTATTTTAATCGAAGAGAGAGTGAGAGAGAGAGAGTGAGTGAGAGGGAGAGGGGGAAAATTTTTTTTTTTAATATTATATTTTTTACAAGAATGCATGTAAATTGTATGTATGAAAAATTGGATTAAACGTAGTAGGTTTATTATTATTATTATTATTCTTTGGGCACGTTCGTTAAGATGTAAAATACTCATTTGGAAAAATGACTTTTCCCGTTTTCCAAAACTTTTCGCAATTAAGAGAAATAAACATGGAGGAACATTGTTTTTTCGTAATAATATTCCGTTTTGATTCGTTTGTTTGTTTGTTTGTTTGATTTTTATTCTCGCGTCGTAACGAATATAATTTCAAATTTTTTAAATAAGTCTTAAATAAATTTTAATAAATCGAATTCGATTAAAATATATATATATATATATATATATATATATATATATATATTTTCATTTAAATTATTCGGGGGGGTCGGGGAAACTTTTTCTTCGTTTAATTAATTTTTCGTCTCGTTATTCGCGTACGAAACGTAAGTTATACACATTTATAGTAAGGAAAATTTAAATACAAAACGATAACGTTAACGGTTTCCGGTAAATAATTTCCGTTTTACTTTTTATTTCTTCTTATACGTCATTTTTAACGTTTTCATGTTTTTTATTATATCAATGCGTTCGATATTAAACGATAATCTCGATAATCGAAACGAGAAGAAAAAATTTTTTTTTTTTTCACTCGCTAGGTGGCGCGTAAATCGTGCAACGATTTTTTTTTTTCCGTCGAACAAAGCCTCCGTGATTATTTTGTTAAAAAAAAAAAAAAAAAAAAAAATTTAAATAAATTTATTGTCAAACGGTTGGCAATACTTTTTTTTTTTTTCTATCACAATTTTATTTAATTCAAACTAATTAATTATAATTTAATAAAGACAAAAAATTTAGAATTGTAAATCAAAATGATTATTATTATTATTCGATGATTGATGAAAACGATAATGATAATGATTCGGGATAATGAAAACAAATGAAAATTTATTATTATTATTATTATTATTATTATTATTATTAAGTTCGTTATAATTTTCGTCGTCGTGTTTTAATTGAATCTTTTTAAGCGTATTATGATTTTTTTTGCGTTTAAATTTTATTTAATATAAAAAGACGACGTAGAAAATTACATTATCCATCATTAAGTTTTTAAAAAAAGAGAGAAAGAGAGAGAGAGAGAGAGAGAGAGAAAGAAAATTTATTGTTTATCTCAAGTAGATTTTTAAGAAAAAAAAAAAGGCTTTTAAATTTTGCAAAATGATATTTTTAAAAAAAAAAAATATTAGTTTTGTAATTCAAAGCCATTTTTATTATTAGTACATGTTTAAAAAAAAAAAAAAAAATGACTCGATGGATATATTCTTACATGAAAATGAAGTATTTAGAAAGAAAGGAAAATTTTTTTTTTTACATAAAATAACGTTTTATGGGGGGTATTAAAAAAAAAAAAAAGAAAAATGTTTTTATTTTAAAAAATTTGTTACTTTTATCAGTATGGAATAGAGTCACAAGGTTAAATCCTCGCGAGCGGGGGGGATCTATCCCGTAGGAAAACGAGAGGGATCGTGTAATTATCTGGATTTGTTGTCCTACTTTGTTAAATATCCCTAGCAATGGCGATTGTTTAGCGAAAAAAAAAACGCTTTTACAACGGCATTTTTTCGACAAATAATTCGTACGTTTAATTTCTAAGGAAAAAGAATCACACGTCACGGCATTGCCGCCAACCTGAATTGCAAAAAAAAAAAAAAAAAAAAAAAAAAAAAAACGAGTTTGGTTTGGTACTCGTTGTTGTTGTTGTTGTTGTTGTTTTTGTTGTTTTTTGTTTGCTTTGTAAAATATGCCCTTGAACTTTTAACGTGTGCTTTTTTCTTTTGTGTATTTTATTACATAGGAAGGTGCGGACATTTTAATTTTGACGCTTTTTTCTACGCGCTAAAATCATTTGAAATTATATTTATACGGAAAAATATTTATTTTGTTAGAAAATTTTCTTGGAAAAGTGTTCACAACCTCCTCCTCTCTTATAAATATTGGCGATTAATTTTCATTCTTCATGTAAATGAAAGAATTTTTTTAAAAAAAATGGGATCAATGATTTCGAAATGTTGTCTCTCCTTCTCTCTTCCCCTCTCTCTCTCTCTCTCTCTCTCTCTCTTTGTGGTACCTTGAAATAAAAAATTTTTAATGTAGATTAAAAAGGAGTTGAGGAAATTTGGTTTTTTTTTTTTTAAAAAAAAGATTTTATATGAGATTTTAAAATGAAATTTTTTCATTTTGTGTAACGGTTAAACGTAATAATAATGATGATGATAGTATTACACGAAATCTTGCCGCGTGTAAAAATGAAAGAAATAATAATAATAATAATAATAAAATAACAGTACTAAAGATATCGTTTAAAAAAAAAAAAAAAAAAAAAAAAAAACGCGTTTTACAAAAATTTTTAGAAAAAACGTAAAAAGGGGAAAAAAAAAAGACGTTGGATTTATTATTATTATTATTATTATTATTATTGGCAAAAAGGAAAAGGTGGTTGGGAAGGGTTGTTTATGAAAAATTGAAAATAGGGGCAACCGAAAAATTAAACCGGAAATTAAACGCTATCAAAGGAAAAAAAAAAAAAATAACAGGGGCGAAAAGGAAAAAATTTTTTTTACGAGATTGAATAATAACGAAAATAATAAAAAAAATAAATAAATTCTTATCAATTTTGTAGCGTTTACGTATGTGAAATAATTTTTCACTTGTTTTTTATAATAACTTTTTTTTTTTTTTTTAATCGTTTTCTTTTTATTAATGAAAAATAAGGCAAAACGCGCGTTTTTCTTCATTTTTAATTGTATAATTTTTAATTCGTGATATTCGTTAGGTTGGCAATCGTTCATTTTTTTTTTTTT